ACCAGCATGTGCACACATGCTCGCCCGTGTGGCCTCACCCTGCCTTCTGGGGGTCTGCACCACTCCGGCAGTGCTCAGAGCGGACTCCTGGCTCTGTGCTCAGGAATCACTCCTGCTGGTGCTAGGGAGGATGGTATGCGGTGCTGGGGAGGGAACCAGGGTGGGCTGCGTTGCCAAGCGCCTCGACCGCCGGACCGTCTCTCCAGCTCCACACACCCCACTTTTCAACAAAAAATTGGCCTAAAATCTGTGGTGATTATGTGAAGTACGTCAGGCTGCTAAATCTGGGGGTCATGTGAGATGCGGTCACGGACAAGAATAACCTCCCCGGCCAGGCCTGAGCGTGGGTCACTGTGGGCAACAGTGGCCAGCAGTGGACATGAGGAGTTAGGGAGGCCCCAGCTGCAGTGAAGGAGGGTCAGCCCTGAGCAGCTTCCCTTCCCAGGGCTGCGGGGCTGCTTTTGGGGGCCCCAGACCCGGGTCAGGAGCTGAGATGAAGCCTTTTTTGGGGGGCCACATGCGCAATGCTCAGGCCTCACTCCCAGCTCCGTGCTCAGGGCTCACTCCTGGTTCTATGCTCGAGACTCACTCCCGACTTGGTGCTCAGGGCTGACTCCAGTCTCTGTGCTCAGGGCTGACTCCTGGCTCTGTGCTCAGGGCTCACTCCCAGCTCCGTGCTCAGGGCTGACTCCTGGTTCTATGCTCGAGACTCACTCCCGACTTTTTGCTCAGGGCTGACTCCAGTCTCTGTGCTCAGGGCTGACTCCTGGCTCTGTGCTCAGGGCTGACTCCTGGCTCTGTGCTCAGGGATGACTCCCGGCTCCGTGCTCAGGGCTGACTCCTGGTTCTATGCTCGAGACTCACTCCTGACTCGGTGCTCAGGGCTGACTCCAGTCTCTGTGCTCAGGGCTGACTCCTGGCTCTGTGCTCAGGGATGACTCCCGGCTCTGTGCTCAGGGCTCACTCTTGGCTCTGTGCTCAGGGCTCACTCTTGGCTCTGTGCTCAGGGCTGACTCCCATCTCTGTGCTCAGGGATGACTCCTGGTTCTGTGCTCAGGGCTGACTCCCAGCTTCATGCTAGGGGCTCACTCCTGGCTCCGTGCTCAGGGCTGACTCCTGGCTCTATGCTCAGGACTCACTCCCAACTCAGTGCTCAGGGCTCACTCCCGGCTCTGTGCTCAGGGCTCACTCTTGGCTCTGTGCTCAGAGCTGACTCCTGGCTCTGTGCTCAAGGCTGACTCCTGACTCAATGCTCAGGACTCACTCCCATCTGTGTGCTCAGGGCTGACTCCTGGCTCTGTGCTCAGGGCTGACTCCCATCTGTGTGCTCAGGGCTGACTCCTGGCTCTGTGCTCAGGGTTTACTCCTGACAGGCTCCAGAGACCTCATAGGGTGCTGGGGAGTGACCCGGATTGGCATCCAGGCAATCAGGTGTCCAGCCCACTGCACTGTTTCTCCCTGAGCTGATGCCCTTTGCTCCCTGACCCGGCACCAGTTCATGCGTCTGGGACTCACCACTCGCCCCTCAGAGAATACGCCCCGGTGTGTCACACACAGCACCCCCACAGCCACTCCTGGGGTGCGGGAAATGGTTCAGAGGTGCTGGATCCACTGCCAATAACCTCTGAGCACTGCGTCGGGAGGCTGTGGCCCCCAAAGTGAAATGAAGCATCCTAAAGTGTGTGTTTGGAGCAGTTTCCAGCTGGACAGTCACTGCCCGTGGCTGCCCGCGGCCTCCCGCGGCCCGGCTGGCGTTTGCTGGCGTTGGCTCCTGTGCTGGGGTTACCAGCGTGTGCCGCGGGGCCAGGCCCAGGGGCCTGGCTTCTGTCCGTGGCCCTGGCCTGAGGCCTCCCTCTGCTACGTGGCGCGGAGGCGGCCTCCTATGGAACGTCTGTCCCTGCCAGGGCGCCCCGCCCACACCGTGCTCCGCCCCCCCCCCCAGCAGCCAGATTATTTTTCAGAAGTTTTGCTGAAAATGTGAAGATGCATGTCAAGGTGTTCCAAGCTGTGGCGGGTTGCTCAGCCGGAAATCCCCCGGGGCCAGGCCAGGTCGCACCGGTACTGTGAGGTCTGTCTCCCCCTAGAGGCGGGCGCAGGCACTGCTGCTGGGGCCGCTGGAGCAGTTACCCAGCCTGCCTGGGTGTACCCTGCTGGGAGGCCCCAGTGGGTGCCCCAGGCCCGGCCTCTTCCTGTCATTTGTTGGAAAAATCAAGACTCCAAGGTCATGCTCTCTTTTTTGGGGAGTCACACCTGGAAATGCTCAGAGATTACTTTTGGCTTTGCACTCAGAAATTACTCCTGGCACAGTGCTCAGGGGACCATATGGGATGCTGGGGATTGAACCCAGCTTGGCCACGTGCAAAGCAAATGCCTTCCTTCCCTGCTGTATGATTGCTCTGGCCCTGAAAAGTCTGTTTTTTTTTTTCTTTTTTGGGTCACGCCAGTGATGCTCAGGGGTGGGTCCTGGCTTTGCATCCGGAATGGCTCCTGGCAGTGCTCAGGGGACCATACGGGAGGCTGGGGATCAAACCCTGGTTGATCGCATGCAAGGCAAGTGCCCTCCTCGCTGTGCTATCGCTCCGGCCCCCTCAGAGATCATGCTCTGAGCCCAAAGCCGCCGGCTCGGCAGGGCCTGGCCTTGTAGCTGCACGTCTGTCCATCTGTCTGCTGTTCCATCCACCCCCCCACCCGTCCACCCACCCATCACTTCCATTCGTCCCTCTTTTCCTCTCTGCCCAGCTATCCACCCTTCCACTTCTCTGTCCTTCATCCCATCCGTTTGTCCATATGTCTGTCCATCCATGCACCCACCCATCTGTCCATCTGTCCACCCATCCACGTGTCTGCCCATCTATTCCCTGACTCACTTTTTTAAAAAATAGGGATCTCGGGGCTGCTGGTATAAGCTTCACCTGCAGGCCATGGTGGCGGGGGGGGGGGGGGGAGCGGGGCAGTGCCAGGAACGCGGCAGGACGCCACAGGTGAGACAGGTCAGAGTGGTCTGGGCCGGAAGTGCCTAGTCTCTGGGTGGCCTCCGGAGTGCCCTTTCTACTCTCAGTGAGGTGCTCAGGGACTCCTCCCAAGGAGGTGCTCGGGACTCCTCCCAGGGAGGTGCTCAGGGGCTCTTCCCAGGGAGGTGCTGAGGGGTGCTGGGGGCTCCTCCCAGGGAGGTGCTCGCTCGTGGACTCCTCCCAGGGAGGTGCTGAGGGGTGCTGGGGGCTCCTCCCAGGGAGGTGCTCAGGGACTCCTCCCAGTGTGGTGCATGGGGGCTCCACCCAGGGAGGTGCTCAGGGGCTTTTCCCAGTGTGGTGCTCGGGGACTTCTCCCAGGAAGGTGCTCAGCATCATTCCCGGAAGTCTGGGGAACTGCGTCTGGCCCCCTGCAGAGCCTCCGCTGCCTGTCCAGCTGCGGCTGGCCCTGGTCTCATCCTGGGACGAGCTGTGGGGCCCCACGGTACACGGCAGCCACCCGGGGGCTCTGTGACATGAGGGGCCGTGCTGGGCTCAGGCTGCTGTCCAGGGGTCCATGTGGGGGCCGTGCCGAAGGCGAGTGCATCGAGGACCATGGACTTCAGCGGCAGGGCCGGCCGCCTCGCTGGGTGGAGGTGCCGGGCTGTCCATGGCTATCCCAGCTCTCAAGGCAGGCATGTCGGCCACCGTGGGGGATTTGGCGCCACATGGACCTCCGTCTTTTGCCGAGACGACGTGCGTTAAACTCCTGCCTCACCCACTGCGGGTGCCACAAGTGGCACATTCACACTTGAACCCCAGCCCCACCTCCGTCTGCTCACACAGGCCTGTCCCCTCCTTCCTTCTAGACTCTGCGCTCCTAATAATGCAGCCTCAGCCAGGGCTGACCACTGCTCACGGGCATGCTGGTCACAGAGGGGAGACAGAGCCAGCCTCCTCCATGGGCGCTGGCCATGCTGGAGGGCCTAGTCGGGATCTGGACACAGACTGGCCACTCCTGGGAAGACAGTGAGCTGCATTTGTCCAGAGGTGGGACGGGCATCGGGGCTGGCCTTGCACCGGTCCCAACCTGCCCTTTGTCCCCTGCCAACCTCTCTCTGGGCCCCCCACCATCCCGCTGGGCGGGGCTGCCCGGGGAACAGGCCACATGCTGGCTTCTGGCAGGTCCCGGTCCCCGGTGAGGCAGACACCTGCCCTTCCCTGCCCTGTGGCCTCTGGCCAAATGACCCTGGGTGCACACACGGCCTCTTGGGTGCCTGTGTCCCCTGGGTCACCAGACTGGCTGGTGCCAGCAGGACCTTCCTGGGCACTTGAGGTGGGCTGAGGCTTGCAGCTCTGGCCCCTGAACTTCCAGAAGATCATGGCTCAGGGGCTGGATGTGACTGGACAAGCCCTTTCCTGGGCCTCAGTCACCCCATCTGTAAAGTAGTGCCGTCAACCCTCGTGCCCCCAGCTGGTGAACGCAGGGCACTTCCCAAGTCCCATTTGCAGAGGGAGGGGTGACCTCTCTTGAGTCCAACAGACCCCGCAGGACCAGGCGGGTCTGGGCGGGGCTCCCAAGATGGCCAGGCTGACAGATGGCCAGGCCCACGGCAGGAAACATGGGCACCACAGGGAATGGGCTGACCTGTGTGGGTACTGATTCTGGAAGCTTCCTGTAGAGTCCCTCGTGCCCCTCTGTGGGGATGGGGTCCTGATGATCCATCCTTAAGCAGCTGCAGTGCAGTCGCTGTGGAATGGGTAAGTGGGGGCTCCTGGGGCGGCCCAGGGGGCGTGTGCGTGGGCTGGGGGAAGGGACCTTCGTGCAGCTCTGAGGGCACCTCCCGAGACCTCCTGCTGAGCCCCCTACCGGGTCCCCAGGGCACTAGGACAAGAGCTTTGGCGGGCTGCCAGCTGCCCAGCTCCAGGGGGTAGGCAGTGACCTGGCCTCTGCCTCTGGGCGGCCATCAGCCCCCCCCTTCCATCCTGTCCCCGCCCCTCCCCCCTGCAGGTATTTAAAGTCCCCGGGGGTGTCCTTGGGTGGTTGCGGCCACCCCGCGGTGGCACCGGGGACTGCTCTTGCCACTGGTGCACGGACCAGGCCAGGCCACACATACCCCACGTCCATGGATTTTGTTGCTGGAGCCTTTGGAGGTGACAGGGACAGAAGGGCCCCACTGGGACCCTGGTCCCAGGGCACGGATGGGGCTGGGGCACACTGTCCTGGGGGGCATGGGAAGAGGTGGCGGGGTCCCGGCAGCCCTGCTTGCCTGGGGGCGCACGTCCGGGAGGGGGACAACCTAGAGGGTGGAAGATCGGGGGGCATGATGGGGGGCATGACCGAGGGGTACATGGTCAAGGGGCGCATGATTAGGGGGTGCATGACCCGGGGGTTCATGAGCAGGGGTGCGTGGGCTCTAGGAGAGGGTGGGTTCCCGAGATGGGGGCTGAGGGGTCGTGGCCCAAGGTGGGGTGACCAAGAACTGGCAACACCCTGGCTGGGGTGCCGGGGCTAGGTCGCAGGGGAGGCGTTTGGGGGCAGAGGGTGGTCTCTGCCCAGGCCGGGGGGGAAGATGAGCCACCAGGAGAGAGGCTGGTCACAGGGCAGGGGCCCAGCCCTGGAGGGAAGGGACAGGCCCACCGGTCACGAATTCTGACCTCCTGGACCCCAAACTGTTTTCCTCCTCGCAGGCAGGTTGCAAAACGGGCCGGCCCGGCCATCGACCCTGTGGCCCGGCCACCTCGGGCGAGTGGCCCTTCGCCTGGTCTTGTGAAATAGCAGCGCCTCTGAGGACAGCGTCTCTGGGGACAGTCCTCGGGGGAGGGGAGCCCCAGCAGGACTGACCAGGGCCTCCTGCTGGGCTGTCCATGTGCCAGTTGCTTCTGGCCTGGCCCGAAGTCCCAGGAGGACACTCCGAGGAGAGGCTGGTCGCTCTCACGCAGCCAGGAAGGGCTCCCGAGTCCACAGCTTCCCCCCAGAACCCAGGGGCAGCCCGGGAGGGAAGGACCTCTGCGCTGGGCCCGGCCCTGGGCACATCCGTAAGGAACTCTCGTCACAGAAGCAGGGAGGGCTTCAGGGAGGAGGGGATGCGGTGGCAGGACTCTGATGGGTCAGCAGGAGTTCAGCGCATCGACAGGAGGGCAAAGACGATCATTCTACTTGGTCCACTCTCCTCTGCTTCACTCCTTTTGCGCATTCATTCATTCATTCATTCACTTTGTTCCTTTATGTGTCTTTGTGGGTCCTGGGCCATACGGAACATAGGTCATGGGGGCTGGGGAATCAGCTCAATCGGCTGGGCGCAGGCTTCACCTGAGAGTCCCGGGTTTGAATCCTGCCCCTGGATGCTTCTCGAGTGTCCCCAGGAGTGACCCTGAGCAGAGCCAGGAATAGCCACCTGCAACATCAACATGCCTTACTGTCCCCAGGGACCTCCCCTTCCCTCCCCCTGTGCCCGAGAATGTGCCCCTTTGCTCCTGGGCTCCCATGGCAGTGCTGGGGGCCTGGACACCGAGACCTGGTGTTTGGGTCTGGGTCAGGAGAGACACAGGCAGGAGAAGGACGGCTCCTTCCGGGGGCTCTGACGCGGCTGCCCCTGTCACCTGCAGACAGGCACCACCTTGGGGCTGGGAAGACAGGGAGGGGGGACGTGTTCGTGCCAGCGCCCCCCAGACTGCCAGGGCTGCAACTGCGGGAAGAAGGCAGAGTAGGGGCCTGGAGCAATAGCACAGCGGGTACCAGCGTTTGCCTTGCACGCGACCGACCCGGGTTCGATTCCCAGCATCCCATACAGTCGCCCAAGCACCATCAGGAGTAACTCCTGAGCGCAGAGCAGGTGAAGCAGCTGGAGAAGAAGCTGCACCCAGAGAACTACACAGGGCCAACATGGTGTGGTGGTGTGGCGGGGGGCAGGACCGTGACGATGGCGCGGGTGATGTAGGCGGTGGGGACGGTCCCCGCAGAGGGCCGGTGTCTCCTCCTGCCCAGCCCTTCCCGCCCTGACCTCTTCCTCCCGCAGGCGTCTGCGGCGTCGCTGTGGGCTACCCCCTGGACACAATCAAGGTGGGGGATGCGACGCCCCCCCGCCCGCGCCCCGCTTGGTGCTTGGTTCTAGTCGCTTCTGCTACCCCTGCATGGCCAGACCCTTCTCGCACCCTAATCCGGGCTGACGGGCCCTAGGGACCTGGGCCTCGGTAGCTGCTTGTCATCCCTCCTCGGGGCTCACTGTCCTTGCTCAGCCCTCAGGCCAGGGTGGCTATGGCTTGGTTCCACCCTCTCCCCAGCTGCTGACTTGGCGCGGGGCCTGGAGCCAGCCCTTCCTGAAGCCCGCGTCTCCCGCAGGTCCGGATCCAGACGGAGTCCAAGTTCACAGGCATCTGGGACTGCATCCGGGACACGTATCGCCGAGAGCGGGTAGGCTTGGCGTAAGGGTCCGAGCCCAGACCTGCCTCTCACTGGCCAGTCCAGATGTGACCCCTGGCTAGCTTCCTGCTCGGCAGAGAGTGGCCAGGGGGCTCATAGCAGGTGGCTGCAGGAGGCGAGAGCAGCGTCGGGGCTGGACAGCAGGCCTGGGGGTGCTGCTTGTTCATCTGTCCCCTACAGGTTGGGCGGCCCTTGTCACAGCTGGCTCACAGCTCAGAGGCCCTCATGACAGGGGGATGCAGACGTTTCCACAGGGGTCGGCGGGGAAACAGAGCTGAGAGGCAGCAGGCCGCGTCTTCTCAGGGCCGCTGCCCGGGTCCAACGGGCTCTGCCACACCGACGAGGCTAATGATCTCCTGGTGGCTGAGGGGACGAGGCCTGGTGGCTCCTTTCCTGGGGTCCCGGGGGCGGGCGGACAGAGCAGGGAGACGCCTCCGCTCGCCTGGCGGGGGTCCTGGGGGCATCTCCTCCGCTGGCCTCCAGCCTGACCGGGCTCCGCCTTGTCCTGCCGCCCTGCCAGCTGCGGGGCTTCTACAGGGGCCTTTCGCTGCCTGTCTGCACCGTGTCACTGGTCTCGTCGGTGTCGTTTGGCACCTACCGCCACTGCCTGGCGCGCATCTGCCGGGCCCGGTACGGCAGCGCCGATGCCAAGCCCGCCAAGACCGACATTACGCTCTCAGGATTCGCCTCGGGCCTTGTCCGCGTGAGTGGGGAGAGAAGGCTGGGAGGGCTAACCGGCAAGGCAGGGAAACTGAGGCAGGGAAACTCAGCTGACCTGCTTGCCTCTCTGAGCCCATCTCTTCATCGCTCAGCGGTGGGGAGTAAGTCAGGCCAGATCAGGGATGCTCTCACATGTCATGTCTTTTTTTTTTGACTATTTTTTGGTCACAACTGGCGGTGCTCAGGGGTTACTCCTGATTTTGTTTTGTTTTGTTTTCGTTTTCTGGGTCCCACCCAGGAATACAATACGCAGGGGTTCCTCCTGGCTCTGCACTCAGGAATTACCCCTGGCGGTGCTCAGAAGACCATACGGGATGCTGGGAATCAAACCTGGGTCGGCCGCGTGCAAGGCAAATGCCCTACCCATTGTGCTATCACTCCAGACCCATACTCCTGGATTTGTACTCAGGAATTACACATGGCAGTGCTCGGGGGACCACATGGGATGCTGGGAATCGAACCTGGGTCGGCCACGTTCAAGGCAAATGCCCTACCCGCTGTGCTATCTCTCCAGCCCCTCTATTTATTTTTATTTTTTGCTTTTTGGGTCACACCCGGCATTGCACAAGGGTTACTCCTGGCTCATGCACTCTGGAATTAGTCCTGGTAGTGCTCAGGGGACCGTATGAGATGCTGGGACTCGAACCTGGGTCGGCCGCATGCAAGGCAAATGCCCTCCCCGCTGTGCTATAGCTCCGGCCTCACATGTTGCGTGTTAATGCTCGGATGTGAGGCAGCGTCTTCATTCTCTGATGACTCCCCGGGGAACCCCCCTGAGGGGTGCTCTGGTCGCCAGGAAGCACTTCTCTGGCAGGCTCAGAGTGGGCACAGAAGAAAGCAGGGGTGCTAGCTGGGGGGAAGGCAGAGCAGGCTTGGAACCTGGGGGCCAGCTGGAAATTCGGGGGTCTCCGGCTGCCCCCCCACCCCGCTCCCGCTCCAGGTCTTCCTGACGGCGCCCACCGAGGTGGCTAAGGTCCGCCTGCAGACGCAGAAGCAGGCGCAGCCGCGCCGTCCCTCCATCTCGAGTCCCGCGGCCGCGCCCCTGTTGTGCCCGGTGGCCCCGGTGAGTCCCGGTTCTGGGCCCAAGTACCGCGGGCCACTGCACTGCCTGGCCACAGTGGCCCGAGAGGAGGGGCTGCGGGGACTCTACAGGGGCAGCTCGGCCCTGCTGCTGCGCGACGGCCACTCCTTCGCCACCTACTTCCTCTCCTACGCCCTCCTGAGCGAGTGGCTCACGCCCGCTGGCCAGAGCCGGCCAGGTCAGTGGTGCTGGGGCTTGGTTGGGGGGGGACACAGGCCGGGAGGTTGGTGGGGGCTGGGCCTCCTGGCGTCACGGCCCTGGTGGTGTCCCCGCAGACCTGCTGGGTGTGCTGCTGGCCGGCGGCTGTGCGGGAGTCCTGGCCTGGGCTGTGGCCACCCCCATGGACGTGATCAAGTCGCGCCTGCAGGTGGACGGACAGGGCCCGCGGCGCTACCGAGGCCTCCTGCACTGCGTGGTGAGCAGCGTGCGTGACGAGGGCCCACGCGTGCTCTTCAAGGGACTGGCCCTCAACTGCGGCCGCGCCTTCCCTGTCAACATGGTGGTCTTCGTGGCCTACGAAGCCGCGCTCAGGCTCACCCACGGCCTGGCCCCGTCGTGCCCCTGACCTCTGCCCCGACAGAGGGGCCTGGGGTTCCTGACAGGGGCCTCTGCGCTGGGGACCGTCCCCGGGAGAAGCCTGGGTGTTTGATTCCTGTGGCCGCTCCCGATAGCCGATTCGGGGCCACTGGGCTCAGCCCCTCTCCCACCCAGTTCTCAATCCATCGTCCCCTCAGATACTCGAGGGGTCTCTGCGGGCACAGCTGGGCCCAGCACAGCCCCAGCGCTGCCATCAGCAATAAAGAGTTTCTGAGATGCGCAGTGGTTGTGTGTGTGGTGGCAGTGCGCCCACGGCGGGCTCCGAGCAGCCGGTGCCCGAGACCAGCCTTGGATGGTGCCTGGCAGGAGGAGACCCCCTCTCCCGGCAACGCAGAGTGGAAGCTCGCCATGATCGCTCTGCCCACTGGACACCTCCAGGAAGTCTTCCTGTGGGCCAGGCACCTTGTTGGGAGTCCTGCTCTGCTCCCTTGCCCCGGGCTTGCTGCCCAGCATCAGTGCCTGGTGCACTGTGTCTGATTTGAGGGTCTGGGGAGTGACTGGGGGACTGAAAGAATGAAGAGCAAACAAACGAAGTTCTTCCAGCCCAGAATGGTTATCTTTTTTTCCTCCAGTCTGGCGTGTGCCATTTGGAGGTTTGCACCCTCCCCCTTTCTCCTGGGGGGGATGGGATGGGGGATGTCCCAGGCAGCTGTCAGGAGGGGACTGATGCCTATAGGCTGGGAAACGTGGCCAGCAGAGCAGCTCAGAACCACGAGCAAGCAGGAGAGATGGGGCTCACTGGGGCCCCCAATGTCACAGGGGCGCTGTTGGGCCTGAGGCTCAGCACTCCCTGGGGGCCCTGCGGCGGACAGGCAATGACCACCCAGACTGCACTCCCCTGCTGTGCAGGGCCATTCAGCGGTGCTATGGTGGGACAGGCTTCCCGGCCACCCGTGAGCACGCAGCACCGTGTCCGGGTCACGTGCTGTGCCCTCACCTAGCGGGAGATGGGGGTGGGTGGGATCAGTGCCCAGGGCCCACCAGCCACGCAGAGCCGCCACAACCCCCAGCACGGTGACGTGTCTGAAAGCAAGGACCCCGTTGCATGCACCCCCTGAGCTGGGAACACTGTGTGGAGGCTTCTTCTTTGGAGCCCACACTGGGACCGTGTCTGTCCCCAAGAGAGACCCTGGCCAGACAAGGGTCCCTGCATAGCCCGGGCCAATCCGCGGTCTCTGCTCCTCCCTCCACGCCCAGACGGAGACAGTGACAAAGGCCGAATTAGAGGGAGTTTATTGATGCCACCGAGGGGCAGAGGGTGCAGCGCGGGGGAGCAAGCCGGCGCCTACAGGGCCAGGCCACAGGCAAGGCTCGCGCTAAGGGGGTCCACACAGCCCGCAGCCAGCCAGGGGGGCCTGCTCTGCGCGGTGCCCGCTGCGGGGAAGAGCATGATGTGTGACCTGGAGGTCAGGGGACGGCAAGGTCCCAGTGAGCGAAGCCTGAGCGGAGCAGAAATGGCCAACTCCTGCTGGCGTCAGTGGAAGGGCGGTTTTCACGCCGGGATGCTGCGAGGCAGATGGGCAGCGAGGTGGCAGGCACCGACTGCCCAGTGACATGGTGAATACGGCGTATCTGTCTACAGAACACGGGATGTGCTCGGGGCTGGGCTCCACCCCAGAGCCTTCCGCATGCAGGACCTGCGCGGGGAAGGCTGCCCCACGGGCCAGTTCTGGGGCACATGGGGCTCCAGGCGCTGCTTTGGGACGCGAGTCCTCCCCGACCGGAAGAGGCTGGCACTTCCGGGGCTGGTCTCAGGGGGGACGTGTCTGATCCCCCCACCGCCGCGCCCTGGAGTCTGACCCAGAGCGCGCAGGGGGCATGGGCTCGGCGGGCCGGGCTGCGGGGAGCGGCGCCTCCCTGTGCGGCCGGACCAGGCGCTACTGGAAGTCGAAGGTCAGCTTCCGGGGCGTCATGAACTCCTTCACCATCTCGTCCGTGACCTCCTTGCGCCGGGCCTGGTGCTCGGCGATGAGGGGCTGCAGGACCTCGATGAGCGTCTTCTTGAGCTCCCCGGTGAGCATAGCGCCGCTGGTGTAGTCCTGCCGGGGGGATGTGGAGCGTGGACGTGGATGCGCTCAACTGGGCACCCGTCCACAGCCCTGCGGCTCACCCGTCCCTGAACATGACTGGAACCGAGGTCCAGGGGCGGCAGGGACGTGTCCCAGCACAGCCAAAGGACAGCAGGAAAGGGGGTGGCACCGCCCCCACCCCCGAGCCAAGCACACACTCGGGGCGCAGGGCTGACCCTGGCCCTCCGGCCTCTCATCACACAAAGAACTGGTGCTCTGCGTGGCTCAGGGCACTGGGCGGCAGTGTTTGGGGCCCGATGTCATTCCAGAGCCTTCGCTGGGCCTGCAGCCCCACGTGCCAGCCCCACCTGGCTCCTTCCATTGCTGCCGGGGCAACTGCCGGACATGTGTCCACCCTGCTCCAGTCCTGGCGACCTGTCCTCATCTGTCCTTCCCCCTCTGCCTGCTGCACCACTTCAGCCTCCCACGAGCTTCTTACAAGGTTTCCTGGAAAACCCGGGAGGAAGCTGAGGGCAACTGGGCCCGAGACCTGGCACCAAATGGCCAGTGTCCAGTGCCCGTCGCCACCAACTCTCCTCAGTGGCTGCCATGTAAACGCTCTGTGGCCCCAGGAGTCTGCCACCTCCCGCGGGCGCCCGGGCCAGGCACGGCTCACCTTCCTGATCTGCTCCAGCTTGTCATCGTCCTCCAGGAAGAAGGTCAGGTACATGAAGGACACGTCCACGTCGCAGTTGCCTCCAAACTGCCGGTGCTCCTCCACGGTGTCCCGCCCTCCGGAAAACGCGTGCTTGTTCACCTGCGTGCAGGGGGAACCTGAGGCCCTGGCCGCCACGGAGGGGGCCCTTTCTGCCAGAACCTGACCGGATCGGGGGCCGGGGGAGGAAGCACCCCAAACTGCGGCTTCCTGCCAGGCTTGGCTGCCAGTCCCAGGCCCTCCGCAGACAAGGACGAGGAGGGCGGACTGGCTTTCAGTCCCAGAGACACAGAACAGAGCTGGGAACATGGGAACAGCTAAACCTGGGGGGAATTCCTAAGGGAGGTGACAAGCTTCAGAGCAAGAGGGACACTACTGCCTGGGATTGCAGAGCGGAAGTGCCCAGAGTGCCTGGCGGTCTCTGTCCCGGCAGAAACAAGGGGTGCAGGGAGCCATCAAGGGGCAGAAAGGCAGCAGGCAGGGCCTCATGTGAAAATAAGAGTGTCAGGAAAGCCTCAGAAAGCAATAAAAAACGTTTTTTAGGATTCTCTGAAGATAATCTTGGAGAATCTAGGCTGATGGCCAGACAAAGCTAACAAGGACAGACAAGTTCCTGCCAGATGCTCTGGGGAGTGTGACAAACGGCCCCTGGGGCCCCTCTGGGAGAGTGGCCTGTAGCCCAGCTACGCACTGGACAGTTCAGTGCTGGGCCTGGTGATGCGGCACTGGGGGTTGTCAGGGCCACCCCACTGGCGCTTGGAGGTCTCCCGGGCTACGCTTGGTGGTGCCTGGAGGGGTCATGCTGTGTTGGCAGTTGAACTGGGGTCCTCTGGCTCTCTCCTTGGCCTGTCATCCCAGTGCAGAGCAGAAGGTCCCTTGGTGAGGCTGACGCAGCCCCAAGCCAGGGTGAGTGCCGGGGAGGGGGGCCAACATCAGTGGGGCTCATCCTTCCTCCTCGAAACGCACGCGTGCAAGCCACGCTGACAGAATAAAAACTCGGCGAACTTTGTGGGCACATAGCTCCTTTCTGGCCGACCTCTGCACCAAGCTGTGCCGGGAGGAAGCCTCAAAGACAGGACGCCCGGCCCAGGGAGGTCTCAAAGGCTCTTGCGGCTCCTCCCGGGCGAAGCCCCTCACTAGCAGTGCCCCAGCACAGTTAAGTGGTGGCTGTGAGGGTGACACAAGGAAACAGCCTGCCGCTCCTCAGAGATGCCCGCTCAGGGTAGATGGTGAGGCCGGTGCTGCCACAGAGGCTTGGAGCTGGCTGGTTCTCAGTGATACCGACCAGTGTGGCCCTCATTCGTTCCATCGCCTGCCCATCGCCATCGACCTCCCCGGGAAGGGGGAAATGGCTCGAGACTACCGAACGCAGGCGGCGAGGGGGAGAGAGAGAGAGCGCTGCTGGGCCTTCTGAAAACACGCAACTGGCTCCCCCCTCGGCACCCTCAGCAGAAAGGGAAACTGTTTACAGTTTCCATCCCAGGGCGAGCAGCGGCCTGCGCCTCCTGCCAAGCTTTGCTATCTGGCTTCCCATCGCCAACCAGAATCTGCTGGGACTTTTTGGAGGGGCAGAGGCCGGCAGTGACGCCGCAGGCTGCGGGACGCACCACAAAAGCAGTTCACGGCTCAGGCTTCGACCCCCCCGCAGCACACACCAGGCCCGGGGAAACACGGACAGCCCCGTGGGACCTTGGCAAGGGGAGCGACAGCCCGAGTGAGGGTCTATTTCACCCTTCAGGCAGTCCGCAAGTATTTCTTGAGCGTCACTGAATAGGCTGGGGCTTGGGGGGACACCTTGGGTCATATGCGACTGTCGCGGGAAGATGCCTCCTGCTGTCCGGGAGGGCAGGGCGGGGCTACTCCCCCTTGGGAAGGCCGCTGGGCCCACTTCCTTCCCTTCAGCTCCTTACGAGGTCGCACCACTGTCCCCCAGCGACACTTCAAGGGAAACGGTAAGCGAGGCCGCTGATCCCGAGTGGATCAGTTTCCCTACTCTTTACCCGACTCTCCTGGACGACTGCCACGAGTCCACGTCCGAAAGAGAAGCACAGGCTCTTGCCTGAATGAACGGACGTGGACCAACCTGCTGCAGCCCCGGGGAACGCTCGCAGGCCCGCCAGTGGGGCTGGCTCACCTTGGACTTGATCTGCTTGGCTGTGTCGGTGAGGAAGATGGAGGAGTTGGGGTCGCTGGCGCTCATCTTGGTCTGTGCCCCCTGCAGGGCGGGGAAGAAGGTGGAGTGCAGCAAGGCAGGCTTGGGGTAGCCGATCCTGGGGGCCACGTCTCTCGTCATCCGGAAGTACGGGTCCTGGGGGAGAGAGGGGCGGTTTTGGGCGCGAGGAATGTACCCGCGGCCCCTTCTGCACCTCTGGCCCTCGAGGCCCAGGACCAGCCCCTCCTCACCTGGTCGATGGCACAAGGGATGAGGCACTGGATGTCGGCCCTGTCTCGGAAGATCTGCGGGAAGGAGTTGCTGAAGGAAGGAGCAGCCTGGATGGCGGGAAAACTGATCTTCCCTGAAACCAAACACAGAGACCAATTGCGGCCATGCTGAGCCACCCAACGGGGTGGGGGAGACGCCAGTGGGCTTCCCCGCACGAGACAGGCAATAATCAGTGAAATATGAAAACCAGGAAAGCAGAAAGAACAATTAGTCCCAATCTATGTCTCTCTACCTTCTCTTTTATGATTTTGTTTTTTTTTTGGGGGGGGTGGGGAGTCAAAGCACACATGGAGGTGCCCAGGGCTGTCTCTTGACAGTGCTCGGACCAAACTCCTGGCAGTGTTCAGGGACCATACGTGCTGCCAGGAATCAAACTGGAGTTTGCCATGTGCAAGGCGGGCACTCTAACCTTTGTACTGTCTTTCTGGCCCTGTGAGATGCCTTTCAGTTGTGATCTTATTATTTGCGTTTCCTTTATCCTTTTCACAGGTGGCCTTAATCTGCGCTGTCACTAGCTCTGCACACGTCTCATGTATTATTTAACTGATCGCTAGTCACTGTGCTCAGAGGTTGTTCTCATCTTTAAGCACATATATCCTAGCTTAGATGTTTTTCCTATGTTTTGTGGTGCTAGCAAAGTAACCGAGGGCCTCATCAATGCAAGGTATGTGTTCTATTACTGAGTTCCATCCAGGCTGAAGTGAACTATCTTGGGATCTAAAGTGTTTTTGCCATTTCAGAGGAGGTGGGGCTGAGGTATCTGTGGGGCCATCTCCTGACTGACTCTCATAACCTGCACTGAGTCGGCCCCCAAGCAAGGCACAGAGGAGGAGATTCCTCCCAACAGGCAGAGCGCTCAGGTCCTGATGGGCAGGAGTGACCCTGACAAAACTCCAGGGCTTGGTGGACCACCTAATGAGGACCCCCTGCAGGCCTCAGGCGGCATACCCAGGGACAGGATCCCCTGGCAAAGCGGGGAGTGGGGGGTGGGTAGGAGTGGGGAGTGGGGTCCACCCTGAAGCCCAGAGCATATCCTGGGAACAACCCACCGGGCCTAGAACCATGCACCAGAGGCCACGTGTGGAGGGGTCAGAGGCAGCCCAAAGTCTCAGGCAAGTTTCGGCTTGCGGAGTGAAAGGTCTGCAAGCAGACAGGGTCAGCACATCCGCACGAGGGAAGGAATTACATGGAAAGGGCTCCAGAGTCACACGTGTCAGGAGGCAAAGCTCTGCAGGCTTAGCAGCGTCTCTGCCACAGGTGGGACACTGGGGTCCCTGGGACAAAGAGCTCATGACGGCCCTGAGAGCTGGCATGGGGCCTGGACAGTCAGATTCTTTTTTTTTTTGGTGAAGCAAGAAAGTTTTTTGATTGAAACCTCTATAGCAAGATGTAAGGGGAGAGAAAAGGAGAAACACGTGTGGAAATAAGCAAGCAAAGAGACAAGCAGGTAGAGGTGTGTTCTAGGGAGAACACGGGTGTGAAGAGTGAACCTCTTCTTTCTTCGCGTTTTGGGGCGATCCTGGCGCGTGGAGCTGGGACTGCAGCTGGGCCTCCTGTGAGCAGCGCGTGTGCTCCCGCCCTGGGCCATCAGTTGGCCTTTCTTCCCTCCACCTCCCTCCCCCTTTTTTCTTTCTGGCCATACCTGGCAATGCTCAGGGCTTATTTCCTGGCTCTACACTCAGAAATTCCTCCTGGTGGTGCTCGGGAACCACACGGGATGCTGGGGATCAAACCTGGGCTGGCCGTGTGCAAAGGAAGCGCCTTCCCCAACGTTCTATCGCTCCAGCCCCCGGCTCTTTTTCTTTCTCCTAGACTTGCAACGGACTATGGAGGGGACACAGACGAAAATCTCCAAGGACAGCGCACACAGCTGGTCACACAGCCACGGGCATGGTCCTCCTCCCTGACATGGGTTTTCTATCACAGACAGGGGGCGAACCCCCATCTTGGAGACAGCTTGGGCTGGGGCAGTCCCTTACTCGGACAGCAGGGCTGGAGGTGCTGGCTCCTTACCGATGCAGTCACTGTCACTGAAGCCAAAAATGCCTTTCACTTGGTTGAAGGTAACATGCTTCTGGATCTTCACCACGTTCCGGTAGAAGCCGGGGCTGGAACTGCAAAGACAAGGAGGATCAGCGCCGGGCTGCCAGGGCAGCCTTCTGAGCACACACAGATGGTGAACACACGCTGGGCAGGACAGTGCCAAGAAACCAGCTGCAGGCTGTTCTCTTTCCTGTGGGGCTGCCCAGGAGGGGGACCTGTGTGACTCCACAGAGGCCAGCAGAGGCCCAGGTGAGGGGCTGCCACCTGCAGGGTCGGGCTGTGGATGGGAGCCCGAGCAGCTATTGTTATTATTATTATTTTTGGTCACACCCGTAGATGCACAGGGGTTCCTCCTGGCTCTGCACTCAGGAATTACTCCTGGCGGTGCTCGGAGGACCATATGGGATGCTGGGAACCGAACCCGGGCCTACCCGCTGTGCTACTGCTCCAGCCCCCGCAGCTATTCTTCTTATCCTTTTAAAAAATTGTATTCTTCTTCTTGGTTTTGGGGCCCCAAGTGTCCCCTCCTCACCCCATGTAATCAAGGTCGGAGAAGATGAAAGTCTTGTTGATGTCAAAGCCGCAGGCAATGATGTCCTTGGCGTTCTCCACGGCATAGCCATGGGCCTGATCCAGGGTCAGGTCCTTCCACAGGTACTTCTCATCATCGGTCATCTGGATGACCAAGGGCACATTGAACACGTCCTGCAGCCACCTGGGAGGGGAGACCCGGGGCGAAGACCACAGGTTAATGCCATGCAGATGAGCACTAGGCTGTGTCGGCAAACACAGTGAGCACCCTGACCCAGAGTGTGACCGGGGGTGCCACACTCTCACTGCTCTGTCAGGCGTTTCACGGCTGGGCAGCAGCCCCTCTAGCAAGCAGAAAAAGCTGTACGAAACGGTAAGTTTTCACTTCTTCTGCAGTGCTGGGGATTGAACCCCAGGCATCACACATACAAAGCAAGTGCTCTACCACGAAGCTACACTTCCAGACTCTCCAACGGGAAGTTTCCACAGACAGGAGGAGGGCAGAAGGGGTGAGGATGGCTCTGGCATAGGTAGCCTGGCACGGGGAAGAGAGAAGCTTTGAGGTAGATCAGAGCATCTGCCCGGGTGATGGCAGAGACGACTGCACGGTGCTGACCATGAGGGCTCCATTCCAGGGAGGTGGAGCCCAGAGGTGGCAAGCCCATCAGTAGAGAGACTTGCAGCCCAGCACATGGAGAGTGTATCAAGCCCCCCTTTTTTGTTTTGGGGCCACACCCAGTAGTGCTCAGGGCTGAATCCTGGCTCGGCCCTCAGATAATCACTGCTGGTGATGCTTCAGGGACCATATGGGGTCCTAGTGATCGAACCCGGGTGAGCCACGTGCAAGGCAAGTGGCCAAGCCGCTGTCCCATCTCTCCAGCCCCACTCTCCTTTTTGTAGCCCTACAAACAATGTCGTCTAACCTGTGTCCACAGCCTTCTGACCTTGTGACTGCCCAATGCCAGGGTCAGGCTACCCCACCGACTCCCTGAGGGACCGCATGGCAGCCCTGAGCAGCTGCTTCCTCTTTCTGAAGCCTCACAATGGAGGGTGAGGCTCTAACCCATACAGCAGCCGAGGGCGAGGTGCAGAGAAAGAGCCCTGTGTGCCATGCCACCTCCCTTAGGTCAGCCCAGAAGAGCCGAGGGAAACAGGAGCTGCTGAGGCACCAGTTCCCTCTGAGTTCTTGGGGTGAACATGCGGGAGCACTGTCTTGTGAGCCCTGGCCTCAGTCTGGTCGTCACGCCCCAATTCACCAACAAGCAAGAAAAGGCCGATGGCTGATACTTACTTTGTGAAAATGAACGGGATGAGGTGACCTACGTGCATGGCTTCCGAGGAGGGGCCTCTGCCCGTGTACAGATAAAACGGCTTCTTATTCTCATAGGCATCCAGGACTTGATTCATATCTCTAAGGGACAGGAAGCGAAGGCGAGTGAATTTTCTGAGGAAAATAGCAAGTGCCAATGCCAGGGGAGCACATAAGCAACAATGACAACAATGACGAAAAGGGGTGGCAATGAAAATGACCACACACTCCAAAAAAGGGAAAGAAATCCCAACTGGAGAGAAGTCCAACTACCCACAGGGACACAACTGTCTCTCTAGGAGATGGTAAAGAATTCCCCCAAAGGGAAAAGAAAATAATCAGTGAACAAATGAATTTAGCAGGATGAAAGGACAAAAATTAGCTGTATTTTCTAAAATAGGTGAGCACACTGTCAATACATTTATAATAAATTATGTATGTATACGTATTTATATTTGTTTTATCCAATCTCGGGCTCCACAAACCCTTGGAGTGACCCTTGACAGTACTTGGGGACCATACTGAGGATTCAAACTGGGGTTACAGTGCCACAGCGACTGCTAATACCAAGGCCAGTCGCTGACCTTCTGTACTACCTGGCACCATTATGCATATAACAAAGCTCCTTTAAAACAAAGCAGGGTTTTGGCAAGAAGTGACTTTGGGACAGATCCTAGGTAAGCTGCAGATAGGTTCTGTTTGTCAGGGGAACTTGCGTCCACTCAGATTTTAGCCAGTAACAACCCCCCCCCCACCACCCCCATCACCTCTAACTCTGAGGAAGGTGGAGGGGCTGGGAATGAAATTTCTCTGTTCGAAATGAAGGATTTTAAAGGAAAAACTAGAGACTGGAGCAATGGCACAGCAGGCAGGGCGTTTGCCTTGCACATGGCCAATCCGGGTTCAATTCCCAGCATCCCATATGGTCCCCTGAGCACCGCTCGGGATAATTCCTGATTGCATGAGCCAGGAGTAACCCCTGAGCATCGCCAGGTGTGACCCCCCTCCAAAGAAATGAATAAAGGAAAAAATATAGCATCAGGGCTTGGCGATATAGTACAGCTGGCAAGCACCTTGCCTTGCATGTGGCTGACCTGGGTTCAATCCCCAACACCTCATATGGTCCTTGAGCCCTGCCAGAAATGATCCCTGAGCACAGACCCAGGAGTCAGCCCTAAGGACAAACAAGAAATGTACAAACAAACACTCCCTAGCATGTGTCCTGCCTGCTGGATTTCCCATGCATATTCCCTTGGGCATCCCCAGGTGCAGCCCTACTGGGGGGGGGGGGAGGGGCTTTGGTCCCTCAGTACTGCAAGGCCTGATCCTCAGACCCCAGCATGGAATCGACAGCCTGGTTATCCAAGAATTGCTGGGTTGGGGCCCCAGAATTCCCAAGCACTGCTTGGAAGCCAGAAAAGCAAGTCGCTGAGTCTGATTTCTTTTAAGGGATCTTTAGTGTGGCTGCAGAAACTGGAGTTTATTAGTCAGAATGAGCACGTTTTACCTAAAGAAATCAACTGACTTGATCTCACAGAAAGGAGACCAGACAGTGTCTGCTGGGCTAGCTCCATGTCACTTGGCAACCTCAAATGAACTTGCTGAATGGTAAATGATTTAAAGCAAAAGGTAAAAATCCCTAGAGATATGAGGCTCTAACAGATTATTGGTAATTTGAAACATTAGAACTGAATCAAGAAACTGGATTATGTTAGGCAAGACAACGTTACCAGTTCTCCAGACTGAATCTCCCCTGGAGGAACTGAAGCTATGACATGAATCTCGTGAAGATTATCATCACTGGGGACTTCATTTTGAATGTTTTTTAAACTGTTCACTAAGTCTCTTGGGAAAATCAAGTTTTACTAAGAGCAATCATCGGAATCCACCTGAGAATCTAGCTCATTTCACTGAAGCAGTGATTTTTGCAACTGAGCACTTGAATCTCTAAGCGCATTTTCCAGACCAGTCTGTTTTGGGGCCATAGCCTGTGGTCCATAGAAATCACTCCTTGGAGGGCTTGACGAACCATATGGGATGTTGAGGATCGAACCCAAGTCAGGCCAGCCACGTGCAGGGCAAGTGCTCTGCTGGCTGTGCTATTACTCTGTGCCCCACCCCCCCAGCAGCTAATTTTAGCCATGAGAACAGGTGCAGGTTTGCAGGTGTAAAAAGGTTGAAAATCTCTGTTCTAGGCATTATAATAATTTATTGATGTCATCTAATCTAAAGATGCTAAGTATGACATCATTTTTGAGCAATTACTTACAAATCTGAAATGAGAATATTAAGGTTTTAAGCGCTAATCTATGATTTGGGCTGACAGAAATAAGGGAAACAACTCTGCATGTAAAGAAAATAGGTTTGTGTTTTCAGTAATAAAGATACAAAGAATGGAGATAGTGTTGCTGAGGGAAAAGGAAGACTTCTGCCTCAGTATGAACCTCTTACTGGGGAGTGGAATTAAAGGAAAGTCATACGACAAACAAGAATGTAATCAACATTTTTCCCCCCTTGGGTCTTTCCCACTGGCAATGTCTGGGGACCAAGCAGGGCAAGGGATCGAACCCAGGAGGCAGACACACAAAGAATGCACTCCAGTCCTTTGAGCCTCTTCCTAGATCCCAGACCCCGAATGGAGAAGAAACATGAAGTTTGTCAAAAAGGAATTTTAAGGGGGGAAAAATTTCTATATAGTTCATAGATTTGCTGGAGCGGGCACCAGTAACATCTCACAATTTGTTGTGAGACTTGTTGTTACTGTTATTGGCATGTCCAATACGACACATGTAGCTTGCCAGGTCTGCGGTGCGGGCAAGATACTCTCGATAGCTTGCTGGGCTCTCTGGATAAAATAAAAGAACTGTATTTTTTTTTTCTTTTTCTTTTTGGGTCAGACCTGGTGATGCTCAGGGGTTACTCCTGGTTCTGCACTCAGGAATTACTCCTGGCGGTGCTCAGGGATGCTGGGATATGGAATGCTGGGAATTGAACCCTGGTTGACCACGTGCAAGGCAAACGCCCTCTCCACTGTGCTATCGCTTCAGCCACAAGAATTGTTTTTAAAGACATTAAAATCTGTTTTAAGAGGCCAAAGTACTACAACGAGTATGACATTTACCTTGCATGTGGCTGACCTGGGTTTGATCTCTGGCATACCCAGAGTACTGTACGGGGTGATCCCTGAGCACAGTACCTGGAATAAATCCAGAGGAATGCTGGGTGTATATCAGTTTTAGTAGTGATAGTCTAGTTACATAAAACTAGGCTTCAATTCACTGATTGTACATTGTACATTATTCAAACAGTTCATGTAGAAAAAAAAAAGACATGTATACAAAGTATTTTCATGTGCTTCATGTGAATTTTCCCAACAGGTCCTTGATTAGTTTAAGTAAACTTAATCTTGATTTTGAAAGTGCAAAGTTTTATTTGCAATTATGAAAGTTTTTATATTTTTTTTTCCTTTTTGGATCACACCAAGCGATGCTCAGGAGTTACTCCTGGCTCTGGCTCTGCACTCAGGAATTACTCCTGGCGGTGCTCAGGGGACTATATGGGATGCTGGGAATCGAACCCGGGTTGGCTGCGTGCAAGGCAAATGCCCTACCTGCTGTGCTATCCATACAGCCCAAGTTTTTATATTGTTTTAAAAAATGTTTGTCACTTTGGTTAAATGAGTAATTAAAAATACTATTGCACAGTAATCAACCTGTTTTAAAACTTTTAATACCTATGACAAAAGTTCCCAGAAATAAAAACTATAAATCATGAATAAAACATCTGGTAGATTTATTTTATTTTTTGCTTTTTTGGGTCACACCTTGTGATGCACAGGGGTTACTCCTGGCTCATGAATTCAGGAATTACTCCTGGCGGTGCTTGGGGGACCATATGGGATGCTGGGAATTGAACCTGGGTCGGCCGTGTGCAAGCCCTACCCGCTGTGCTATTGCTCCAGCCCCATCATCTGGTGGATTTAAATAGAAAAGAGGTACAGTTCCTAAACAACTCAAAATAACTATTGTTTCTCTTTGAGGAAAAAGAAATGCATATAAGTTAGATCTATTTAGTATGCTTAAACTTCAAGGGGAGGGTCACATAAAAAGAAATAGTTAACCTTTTTTAGACATTTTTTTGTTTGCTTTTGAGCTACACCTGGCAGTGCTCAGGGCTTACTCCTGGTTCTGCACTCAGGGACCCCTCCGGTGGGCTTGGGGGCCATCTGGGTGCTAAGACTGTGCCTTACTTGCTGCACTATCTCTCTGGTCATCCAGTTGGTTGATGTGTGGAAAACTCATACCTCTGATATCAGAAGTGAAGCAGCAGGGGAGATAGGGGACATAGACTTGAGTTTTTCCTTCAGAAAAAGCAAAGAAAAATCTGAAAATGAAATGAAGAAATTGCTATTTGGGGCCAGAGACCTGACCAGGGTTCAGTGAAACTTGGCAATTTTGTGCCCGTCTTCTTACCTCCAAAGCAAGAGTGACTCTCCGAGGCTAAGAAAGTAAAACACACTGGCCGGATGTTTAGGTTTGTAGTCTGGAGGATGTGACAGTTCCCCAGGGAGCTGAGGCAGAAGATTCCCTTAAGAAAGGAGGTTCAAGTAGCCCCCGGCATTTATGGATGTGGTCCCCCAAATAACAGAAAGGGGGAAAAAGGGCAGGTAAATACTTGAAATTAAAAAAAAATCCCCCACTTTATTTAAACACTCTTGTGTACAAAGTTGCTCATGATGATCTGTTCCAGGCATTCAATATTCCAACCCCCATCCCACCACCACTGACATCTGCCCTGACCCTGTCTCCATTCTCCCGACCACCCCTCAAGTCTACCCCCCAGCAGGCCCACAACGACTTATTTTACATTGCTTGTTACCCCTAAATGGCTAATGGAGTGAGCAAGAAATATTTAAGCAGAAGAAAATTTGTCAATAATGTTTTATCTCACCATGGGGACATTAAGTCCTCATCTAAGCTGCTTACTAAGCTGCTGCTGCAAGGTAAGCCTTCTGTGTCGATGTTTTCCTTAGTCAAGATTGCCTGGCTTCTATGTTACACTCCCACCCAATCTGGAATACTTACGAATGGCCTACCTGAAAAGAAACAAGAGTCCAGAATAGAGAACTATTCTAACAACAAAGAGGCAGACATCCCAATTAAACAGTGGGCAATGGCCTGGAAGAGACATTTCTTCAAAGAACATAAAAGAATAACCAACACACTCGAGAAAAGATGTTCAATACCATCAGTCATCTGGGAGATGCAAATCAAAACTACAGCGAAATGCCACTAACGCACTGAGAAGGTAGCGACAAACAAAATGGGAAATAACAAGCATTGGCAAGGATGTGAGCCCATGAGATCCCTTGACTGTCCGCTGCTGGTGCGAAGGCAAACTGATGTTCGTGCCGGGGAAAAACATCTTGGCAGTTCCTCAAAAAATTAAACACAGAGGAACTGTATGACCCAGCAGCTGCACGCAATGTATAATCCAAGGGACCAAACAACATGTCCTCACATGAACCTAGATACAAATATCCAGAGGCTATCGATAACCTGCAAGTGAAAGTAACCTAAATGTCCATTAGCTGATAGTGGAAAAACAAAATGTGGGAACAGGTATTCAGTGAAGCATTTCCAGGTACACAAAGACAGGCGCTCTGACACACACAACATGAAAGAATCTTGAACACACTCTGCTAAGGGTAAGCAACCAGGCTCAGGTCACCTGTAAAAATGAGTCTGTGAAATGTGGAGTCCAGGCAAATCCAGAAACACAGAGAGTAGATCAGTGGCCAGTAGCGAGGTGGACTGGAGGAAGGGGAAGGGATGAAGCAGGAGTGACTACTAATGGCTATGGGATGTTTTTCTGAAGAACGAAAATGTTCTGCAATTAAGTAATGATGACGGCTGCACAGCGCGAGAATATAGGCCTGCCTTGAATAGTGGGCTTCGCCTCATGCTGCAATTTTTTAAAACTTCTTTATTGAATCACTGTGAGACAGACCCTTGCAAAGTTGTTCATGATGGGATTTCAGTCATCCAGTATTCCAACACCCTTCCCTCCACCAATGTACATTTCCCAGCACCAGTGTCCCCGGGTTCCCTCCAATCAATCACTCCTCCCCACCAGTCTCTCTGGTAGGTTCTTTTCTCCCCCATCCCCTCTCTCCCTCTCTCTCCCTCTTTCTTCCCCCCAATCTCCCTCTCTGTCTGTCTGTCTGTCTCTCTCTCTCTCTTTTCGGCATTCTGGTTTGCAATATTGATAATGAAAGGTTATCAAGAATATCCTCTTACCTACTTTTAACACTCAGTTCTTGTCCAGCATGACCCTTCCCAGCTATTATTGTCATACGGGTGTCTTCTCTGTCTTACCCACCCTCATGCTGCATTTTTAATGCCAACATTAAGACTGATTTGCTAAAGTCTCAGATGATGGTCGACAACATTCTTTTGGCAGTAAGGTATTTTTAAATTGAGGTATGTACTGTTTTTTTCAGAGCTTACTCCTGGCTCTGCGCTCAGCGATCACTTCTGGTGGGCCCAGTGTGTGGGACCGAAGCTGGGCTGGCCATGTTCAAGGGAAGTGCCCTAACTGCTATACTAACACTCTAGCCCAGATATATACATTTTAAAAACCTTAATGCTCTTGCACACTTTCGGACTATGGTGTAGTATAAATACAACTTTTATCCGCAGGAAACTACTCATGATTATTATTACCATTGTCTGGAACTAAGCCCCCACCCCAAGATGTCTAAGGTGTACCTGTATGTTAATACACCCTGAATCGAATACTTTTAAGGGTGAATTCTGACCTGTGAATGACATCTCGATTAAGAAAAAAGTGTGCTTCCATGGTAACCACAGAGAGGACTGAGTGGGACCTGCAGTTCTTTTATTTTTTGGGTCACACCTGGCAATGCTCAGGTGTTACTCCTGGCTCTGCACTCAGGAATTACTCCTGGCGATGTGGGGGAACCACACGGGCTACCAGGGATTGAACCTGGGTCAGCCGTGTGCAAGGCAAACGCCCTACCCTCTGTACCATCGCACCAGTCCCAGGGACCTGCAGTTCTTTGAATGTAGAATTTGAAGTGTTGGGGCAGCCTGCCAAGTTCTCTGTGTGTGCTCCTGTAATCATGGAAGTATGAGCAGAACAGAACAACCCTACCTGGATGATTAATTCAATTTACATTTTACTCAGCAATCAGCTGGACCCAATCAAAGGTGATCTGTGCAGCGGGGAGAGGCAGAAACCCTTTAGGAATCTGCCCATTTCTGATGTTATCTGCTTGGAACTTAATGTCTAAGGTAGGGAGGGTGCATTCCATGGAAATTCTGTTAGTTTCTCTTTTGATATTTGTACACAATGGGGCCTGTACAGTAAGAGGAAGAGGATACAAAATTTCAGGAAGCCTACTGTACTGTTTACTGCATGGAAAATGTTGAAGTCGGGCATATTTATCTTGTCTGTATTTATGACAGTGTAGAATTTACAGTCTGTAATCTGGCATGAATCTCATCTGCTTTAAGCTTGACTCCTGCCTTGTGAGATGGGCGGTTTACAATGGCACAAACAGGGTGAGAGAGAAGGATGGAAGCAGGGCAGAATCTCAGTCACTGCCAGTCTCCTGACAACTCACTCCCACTTCCCCACATTGGCAGGTCCCAGGCGGCTGCAGGAAGAGAACCCTCCTGACCAGGATGTATACCAAAGGAAAGGGATGGGCGGGGTGGCGCCCTCACCTGTGTGAGAAGAAGATGCCTCTGCGCAGGAAGTGGTGCGGTCTCTGGCCAGTGGCTCTCTCGATCCGGTTGATCAGCTCCTTGTCAATCTTACTGCTTCCAAACCGAACTGGAAGAAAATTGGAAAAAGACACATGAATGGAGGTGGCGCAACGTTTAGTGACCAGCAGTATTATTAAAACAAATGGGAAAACTAGTGATCCTTGTGCAATCTTTCTTTTCATTTTGGCTTTTTGGGTCACACCTGGAGATGCTCAGGGGTTACTCCTGGCTCTGCACTCAGGAATTACTCCTGGCGGTGCCTGGGGGACCTTACCCCCAGGCAAATGCCTGACCCGATGTACTATCACTCCGGCCCCGACCCATGTACGATCTTCACAAAACCAAACCTCTTCTGGTCGGTTTGGGTCCTTCTCCCCAACACAAAGTCAGTGCTTTTCACAGAAACAGCTGTGGCCAAGATCACAGCCATCAAAAGAGAAAACAAATTACAGAATAAAATCTGTTTTGTTGGCACTGGATTCTGATGAGAATTATATCCAGAATGCAGCCTAGTCAGCAATGTTTGATAAATACACACACTTGCTTTAGATATAATTACAGGGACAAGCAGAGCTTTTTTTCTTTTTGGGTCACTGTGATGCTCAGGGGTTACTCCTGGCTCTGCACTCAGGAATCACTCCTGGAAGTGCTCGGGGGACCATATGGGATGCTGGGAGCTGAACCCGGATTGGCCATTGCAAGGCGAACGCCCTACCCGCTGCGCTATCACTCTAGTCCCGACAAGCAGAGTTTTTAATATTTTTTAATTTTTGAATTGAGTTAATGTCTGTCCTGCAGTTTTCCCTCACTGATAGCCTACCCTTCAATCATGAAAGATGGCTCTGATAATAACATTCTCATTCTCTTTCTCCAGCCACTGCCAGTGGGAATTTCCTGAGTAGCAGGTCCCTCAAGGAAGGGCTGGCAATACAGCTGCCAAATCAGAAGTCTCCCTTTAAAAGCTGACTTCCAGGGGCTGGAGATAGTAGAGTGGGCAGAGTGCTTGCCTGGCATGTGTCTGACCCAGGTTCAGTCTCCAGCACCCCATACTGCCAGGCCCTGAGTCCTGCCAGGAGTGATCCCTGAGTACAGAACCAGAAATAAGCTCTGAGTACCACCGGTGTGACTGAAAACAAAAACAAAACCAAACGGAACCAAACCAAAGGTGACTTCCAGCTTTCACCTCACAATCAATATCACTGGGTGGGGGTGGATCTGAGTAACCTACTCATGATCACTAGGTGAAGACAGTTTAAGTCTCTGCACAGAGGTCAATTTCAACAGACATTGCCAAGTTCTAAATAGCTCAAAAATGGAGAAAAATGCGGGGCTGGAGTGACAGCACTGTGGGTAGGGCGTTTGCCTTGCATACGGCTGACCCGGGTTCGATCCTCAGCATCCTATATGGTCCCCTGAGCACCATTAGGAGTAATTCCTGAGTGCAGAGCCAGGAGCAACTCCTATGCATCGCCGGGTGTGGAAAAAAAAAAGAGAGAGAAAAATGCATCTATGAAATTGAAATTGTCTACTACAGCCATTATTTGGAAATAAGTTTTATATTATTATTTAATACACTAATCCTTTGGGAGTATACATACCACCAAAACACTTTAGGGTCCTTCATCCCCCTTGGCAGCGAAGCATCACTGGTTTATGATTAGTTAAAACTTAAAACCATCACTGGAACCAAAGCAACGGGATTACTTCTGAAGCTGAGATTTTCCCAAGACATACCAATGAGCTTGTCGTAGTCAACGCCTTTTGCACTGCTTGTCTGTACTGTCCATGGGTCCACAAAATCCTCTTCCCCAGAATTAGGATCACTATTGGCCCCGGATGCCTTTTTCTCTGGAGGACAGTCAGCCTTGTACTCCTTCCCCATGGCGGCTTTGTAGCTCATTTTTAATGATAACAACATTTGTACTGCAGAGTCAATCTCATCCTGGACAAAGGAAATAAAGGCAAGGGTTAGACACACGAACATTTAGCACTTGCTAAATGTCACTGTGGTAGACCTCATTCTAAGGTTTTAACACAAGGCCCAGTTTAGAAACCCCAGGAGGCTGCGGGACCGTCACAGCTTCCTGTTCAAAACCTGGGGCTTTATGTTTCTGGAAGTGCTGGGGCTTGATCCTGGAACCTCACATGTACAAAGCACCTGCTCTACCGCAGAGCTACATCCCCAGGTAAAGAGTCTGAGTCCCACCGGGGCCCCGGCTTGGATATGTTTTCTCTCTCTGCTTTAGTGCTGTGGACACTGCCCCATGTGGTGACATGATGCCTGCTGTCGCATGGCAGTTAAAATGCTAACGACTTCTCGAATACCACCGATGCCAGAAGAGATGTGTGACAAGATCCCTTCATCGACTGAACTGTGTTCCACAGTGGAACTTGTTCTTACATGCTACACAGGTTGAGATGAATATGTATGGAAACTTAAATGATGCCACCAAGGAGAATAACAGTAACTCAAATGGATGTCATGAAAACATCAATTAAATGGCAGTCTTTAGGAGAGAGTTATGCTGTGGAATTCTGGAGCCTTATCAAGCTATTCAAAATGCCTACATGTTTGTTTTAAAATAAGCAGATGACAAACAAATGTGAAACTTTAATCTACTAAAGACCTCCTCTTCCAGGAGCCCTGCAAAAGCTTCCCCTGGAAGCCAGGCATTTAAAAGAACAGCCTAATTAAGCAGATTAGTCATGCTATGCCCTAAAGCTCTACAACAGTAATTGGTCTTGCTGGATTAGATCGAAAACAAAGAGTATACACAGTCCAATTTGCTTGCCAAGGAAATACAACATTTTCACTTAGAGTTTGTACATAAAGTATCGTAAACGGGGCTTCCCAGTGGGAAAACACAGTAACCCCAACCTTCACTCAGACAGAACTGCTCCACCAGGAACAGAACTGAGGCTGGGCCTATTGTTGCTGGGTGATTCTGTAGCAACAGACTTATTTCAAATGCTGAAATTGTATGGAATTTATCAGTAAAATGAATCAGAGTGACAGAATTAATACTCTTATGGGTACATCTTGCACGGAGATACAGGGTCAGGTAGGTGAGATGGTTTTACTCATCAGTCTCATTTCTGAAGTGCCTCAGCTCAGTGTTTGAAGTAAAATTAAGTCTGGCAAGGATGAGCTCTGGAATTCTCCACAGGAAAAATCATCCTTTCATCACGGGAATGCTGACATTTCATAGTTTATTAGGTCTGACGCGGTAACTTAGAGGCTCTTGGAAGGGCAAAGATTTTGCCAGTGTTTGAGTGAAGCCCGTGTGTAGCTAGAAAAGTACCAAAACAGACAAGGAGGCACATCAAGCCTTATTTCTTTTTTCTGATTCAGCACTGTTAGACCAGGGCACAGTGAAACAAAATGTAAAAGCTCAAGTTCTGAAAACAGCTAGGTGCAGAAGACTATCTACTACCTGATTATGTATGTATCAGCTTCAACACAGGCAGAACTTTCCAGGTGGAGGGATTAGAGGGAGGCCTTCCTGGGTGGCTAGAGGCAGGGACCAAAGGGCTTGAGGACAGCTTCTGGGTACTGCTAAACTGTTGCTCCACGTGGATGCTGCTTATACAGCTATGGTCAATTTGTGAAACTTCATTGGTCTATCTGCCTATGATCTCCATGTTTCCTTTAAGTACAATGTATTTTAAATTTAAAATGTACCCAGACAAAAAGACACTCTTTTCTCTACCTGAACTCATTTTAAGAGTCCTTTTTAAATTTTAGGTGCCTCAAACACTGTCTCCCCTTTAAGCCTCCTGGCTCTGACCCTCCCTCAGGAGACTCTCTGCTTTGAGGAGTTACAGTTGCTGACAAAGTGCATCTTATTTGCATGGTACTTGAGAGCAGAAAAGGACATAGAGGACAGTGGCAGTAGATGGCTTGAGACAAGACTGCAGTGGCCAATGGTCTGGTATTACAAAGGGGGCTCAAAGACTGCTTACAGTGAATCTCTGAAACATCAGGCGCTCCTATTATCTGACATTTCAGGGGCACAGATAAATTCACTTCTTATTTTCTGGCCAAACCTGGGCAGTGCTCGGGGCCTCTTCCTGGCTCTGCACTCCGGGGGAACTCCTGGCGAGCTTGAGAGCCCATATGGAGTGGAAGGGATTGAATCGGGGTTGGCTGCAAGCAAGGCAACCTACCTGCTGTACTATCTGCCCATCTCCCTTCTTTATTTTAATTAAAACTTTTGTTTTGGGTGGGGCTTTGGGGCCATACCTGGTGATCCTCAGAGGTGACTACTGGCTCAGGGAACATTCCGGGCAGGTTTGAGGGGACCATATGGGGTGCCGGGAATCAAACCTGGGTCAACTACGTGCAAGGCAAATACACTACCTGCTATACTATCACTCTGGCCCCCTTCTTTGTTTCACATACTTCTTGGTCTTTTGTTTTTGGGATACAGCTGGCCCTGCTCAGAGCTGATTCCTGGCAGGGCTTGAGGATCACACCCAAATTGGCTCTAAGCAAGGAAAGTGCCCAGCCGCTATACTATACATACACATCTTTTTTTTTTTTTGTTTTTGCTTTTTTGGGTTACACCCGGCGATGCTCAGGGGTTACTCCTGGCTTTGCACTCAGGAATCACTCCTGGTGGTGCTTGGGGGGCCATATGGATGCTGGGAATCGAACCCGGGTCGGCCACGTGCAAGGTAAACGCCCTACCCGCTGTGCTATTGCTCCAGCCCCCCATACACATTTTAAACTTAATCTCATTATCGAGTCCTATCTAGAATGTGAATTTCTTCTTGTGAATGATGATGATTATTATTTTGCTTTTTGGGTCACACCTGGCAATGTACAGGGGTTACTTCTGGTTCTTCACTCAGGAACTACTCCTGGTGGTGCTCAGGGGACCATATGGGATGCTGGAACTCGAATCCGGGCTGGCTGCGTGCTAGGCAAATGCTGCCTTACCCGCTGTGCTAATGCTCCAGCCCCGTGAATGATTATTTTTTGATGTAAATTTCTTTAGTATTATTTTTTAAACGTTAAAAGAGTTTATCTGGGGCCTAATAGACCAAAGTAAAACAGTGACTGGTGCAGAGCTTGCAGTGTAAGGGCGAAACTGATGCCATGACAAGTGGCAGAAATGGGAAAAATCAGGTAGGCCTCAGTTCCTGGAACTGAAACAGATTCAGTTTCCCAGTAAGAAAACAATGCGTAACTAGCCAACCTGAACCCACCTGGCAAAGTTCCTGGGCTCAGCAAGTGGGTTCAATTAATCAATTCTCACAATGCCCCAGAAGTTACTTTTTGTTAACCCTAAAAGAACGAGAGATCTATGTAATCATAAAATTGGTACCAATACTGGAAATTATTGTTTAACTGTTGCCTAACCACTGTTACTCTAGACACTTGCCAAAACACCTTTGTCTGGTAACTAAGAAATTTTTTTTTCTTTTTTGGGTCACACCTGGCGACGCACAGGGGTTATTCCTGGCAGTGCTCAGGGGACCATATGGGATGCTGGGAATCGAACCCAGGTCAGCTGCGTGCAAGGTAAATGTCCTACCCACTGTGCTATCTCTCCAGCCCCTGGTAACTAAGGAATATTCTTTTTGAAACAATAAGGCGTGTACCACTTATGTAATCAAACCCTAAAGTGCTTGCTGCCTGAAGTTGTGGTCGCTATCAAGAGACCACTTGCATTATCGTGTTCGTGTCTGTCTTGCCATTTGGGAACCCAGAATCCTGGGCATAATACCAGCTTTCAGCGATAGTACAAGTGAGCAGAGCACCTGCCTTGCAAGCAACTGACCTAAGTTCAATCCCTAGCACTCCACAGGGTCCCCTGGGCCCATCAAGAGTGATCCCCGAGCAGAGCCAGGAGTCAGCCTTGGGTACTGCTGGGTGTGGCCACCAAACAAAACACTCCCATGAATGATAGTCAAATATCTACTTGAGAAATCACGCTCCTATAAAAACCAGAGTGAAAAATTAATTTGGAGGAAAACAAGACTGTAAAGGTAGGCAGAGAAGGTAGGAAAACTATTATACATTATATTTTAGATATAAAATACAATATAAAAAAGAAGACTGGACCTATAAAATGAGGACAGGGTGCTATGATAATAGGAACATTCAGAGACTGGATGAGATTTTAGAAATTAAAAACAAGAGAGGTACATTCATTCATTCTGGAATTGTGCACATTCTAGTTTGAGGTACATATTCTCTCATATTTCCTAGATAAAATTATTTAAAAAAGAAAAAAGTTAACAGAAAACAACAGAAAGCTGAGGAAATATGACTCAAGTAGGGAAAAAAATTGGAAATCAGAACAAAAACTTAAAAAAATAACCAGATAATCAGATTAGTTTCTGAATTAAAGAAACGCACAAAGTGAAAGTAGAGAAAGCAAATGAAAGAAAAATATACAATTTCTGAGAAGGATCATGAGATTTTAGTTTAAGAAGCCATCCGAGGAAGTTATAGAACACTGGTAAAAGCAAAGAACTGCCAGCTTCTAGAAAGACAAGGAATGGATTCTGGCTTTTTCATGGCAACTCTGGGAGTCAGTGACAGCCGCTGGATCTGGGACAGTCACTTCTACCCTAGAATGTTTTACCCAGTTTAGCCATCAACCAAAAGATACTTCAGACATGCATGACCACCCCCAAATCATTTCCTTTGTATTACTGTACTTTTTCAGAAACTATTCAAAGATTTACTCCGCAAGATATCTGACCCAGGGGATGCAAGAGCCAGCGTCAGGTAAGAGGGACCTGGCAGAGAGAGGTACGGGAAGGTCTGGGGACAGAGGGACAGTCGGTCCTAAGATAAGCAGTGTGGGACCAGTGACCAGTCCCAAGTGGAGGGGGCAAAGGGCACGGGAGAAGACCTCTCAAATCCAGGTTGGTGTAAAGCCTCAAAGAGACTCATGAGTATATGAAAATGCTGTACAATCGGAAATCAAGACAAAACCAAGTCGAGGGAGAGCACAAGTTCGGCAGGGAAAGAAGTTGCCAGGCCACTGCAGAGGTCAGCAGTGTTTGCTGCCCACGTCAATGAGAATGGTGATTTGTTGAGGGACAGTAAGTGCTTACACATAATGCTCACCTGCTCTTCCACAGAGAAGGCCCCAATCTAACCAACAAGGAACAACAGAATACACAACTGATCTTTAGAGATATGGGGGATATACGTATCAGAAGAATCAGCTTAAAGAATCTGTGTTTTTTGTTTTGTTTTGTTGCCCTTTATGGGTTTTTTGGAGCACTCAATGGTGTTCAGGGCTCAACCTTGGTAGTGCTTGGAAGTGTAGGGGACTGAACCCACGATGGCTGTGTGCAAGGCAAGTTCTCTACCCACTGTGATCTCTCTCCAGCCCTGAGAGTAGGACATAACTGGGAGCAGGAGGTGGGGAGGGAGGGATGAGGGGCTGTTGTGTTTCAAAGGCTTTTAAATCCTTTGTTTTTGAGACCACATGCCTCAGCACTGTTGAGAAAGTTGAGGTACGAGTCCCGAGAGTCCGCTCCCCGGCATACCACCCGACTTGCTGGCACAGAGAACTGAGCAAAACAATTACACATAGATGCGGTCACAAACCTTTGATGCATTCCGAGCTTTGAGGGATTTCACAAGCTCCCCCTGGGCAGCTACAATGCTGAAGAGATCTTGCTCGCCGTTGGACATATCCGCCATGTTCAGGGTCTTGGATGCAGCGGGCTAGGGTGGCTGCTGGAACACGTGCTCACAGGTCCAGACAAAACTGGGTGAGAAAAGAGAGGATCAAAACCTGTATTATGTTATAAATAAGGGACATGGATAAAGTAACATTCATAAAAATATAAGCAAAAATTTGGAGCCATGTAAAAGAGGGAAAGTGTGAGTCCATTTTTTAAGACCGAATGGAAGTGTGCCGTGTGAACTGAAGGACGTAGCCAAGACCCAACGGTGTCTGCTGACGGACCAGGGTCTGTGCCCAGGACATAGGAAGGATGTGTAAACTCACACAAAGGGGGCACGGCACACAGCGGCGGTGGCTCTATCTCTCCTGCCGCCCGCGTTCGGTAGTCTCACCCTTCTCCCACCCCAGGGAGGTCGATGGCGATGGTCAGGCGGAGGAAGGAACGAGGGCCAGGCTGGTAGGTATTAGTCGTAGTTTATTCTGATTCTCTCTCCATCTACACCAGTTTTCCTCTCTGCCTCTCCTCCCCTTCTCCTTCCTCCCCCATGCTACTTCATTCTCCTTCTCCATCCCCCTTCATCCTCCTTCTGTTCCTTCTGATCCTCTCTGACCTCTGCTTCTTCCTTCTGAACCCCTTCTGAATCCCTCTGACCCCTGCTTCTTTCTTCTGAACTCCTAGCACACTCCTACAGTACAGTTAAATCCTCTCTCCATGAGGAATTGGGGGAACAATTACACATAGGTGCGGTCACAATCAATAGGGGTAGAACTCTTAGCCTCAGGGAAAGCCGCTCCTAGGACAGATCCTTTCTCAGTAGGACAACCCACCCTAGGGTGGGATCCCATGGGTGTGTCTCTCCTCTCCTTGTCTGACAAGCATATAAGCATATTTAATAGAAATCATTTGGTATGGATACAGTAAGAAATATCTTAAACTTAAAGAATTGTTCTCCTAGGGTCATCTCGATCTCAGACTACGGCGCTCAGGCCAGATAGTCTTTCCCACCCCTAGCAGGATCCTAGTCTCGTCGTTACCTTTGGATCATGACAGCATTTGTCTATGATCAAACTCTTAGTTTATAGTTAAGAATCGTGGCACCTTGGCCTGGCCCATTTCAATGCCAGGGTAGCTCACTGCTTGCCCTGGGTCCATTCAGTCCCTCGTCGGGACCCTGCTTTTGGGGTGTTAGGAACTAAGGCAACCGAGGCTTAAGTCGAGAAAGCAGATGCCCGGGAGTGAATAATATTCAAAGCCAATCAAATCCTAAGTTACAAAGCATAGTGTTAACGGTCTTCCTGTATCTATACAAAAAGGATATTGCTTTAAAGTAAACTGTTCATGAGGCATAAGGAGAGGAGAAAGGCAATATTTCACTTATACATATAAAATCATAGATTTCTGGGAATCTGACCTTATAAATTAACAGAGTCTGACTAGGGGGAAAGCTGATTAACTGGGTGGGGAGGAGAGCATAGGGAAGACTGTTTACAGATAAACACAACGGAGTGGAAGTGCCTCAGGAGCACTGTGATGGGTGTAACCAGATAAACCTAAGCTTCTTGTGGAAGAAGGACAAAGCAATGTTAACCTACATCGAAGGATGCACATTTGATCATGGAGTAAATACCAAAAGGCTTTCAGAAACCAAAGTTCACTAGAGGTGAGAACCTTTGACAAGTACTCTATCTTAATTGCACAGGGGCCAAATTGCCAGGTTTTTGCAGCCTCGCCACAAAAACACACAGGAACAGCTTCCCTGCTGGCCAGCTGCTCTGTTCTCAGGTGAACTGCATGGGAAGGGCCTTATCAGGTTTTATAGATAGTTGGTTCCTTTATTTTGCAGCAATGTTTAATGGCAAACCTTTCAAGGTGTGCTGCACCTTCTATTAATCATCGAGTCTTTACTTTGAAAAAGGCGGGGCACAGGGAAGGACCTGATACTGCCCTGGGGCTGATACTGAGCTGCAGGTCAACCTCCTTTCTCTCAATCAGCTTCCTCATCTCTAAAATGGCACCATCAAGAACTTCTTCCCTAGCTCAAGGGCTGCCTGGGAAGAAATGGAAAAAGAAATGGCATGAACTATGCTGCAAACTGAATAGCAAGGTAAAAGTCAGCACCAGCACCGTTAGTGAAACTGTTCTTGTTGGATGACAGGGCTTGGCTGAATTTCAGCTCCATTCACCACGTGCTGCTGTATACTGAAAGAGCAGGATGAAGATGGCAATGAAGCCAGTCCCCTGGGTTCATTTCCAGCACTTCTGCACCCGAGAGTATCCTAAGCACCTGTACACATTGATTCATTTAAGCCTTCCAGCAATCCTATGAGCCAATGTGGTGTGTTCAGGCCTTGCCTTGTATGAGGCCAAGCCCATGGTTCACTGGCATAGCATATGGGTCCCTCCAGCACTGCTAGGAGTGATCTCAGCACAGTGCCAGTAGTGGGCTGAGTACCACTGGGTGTGGCCCACCCCAAACCAAACAAACAGCCGTCTCCTTGGTAGATGGCTCAAAGACTGAAATACATGTTCTGCTGGCAGGAGACCCAGACTTGATCCCTTGTACCACATAGTCCCCTGAACACCAAGCCAAGTATGTATATCCTCATGAATATAGATGTGGTGCAACTCACATCACCACCCCAACACCACTACCACAAAAAAACTTGCCCTGGATAGTAACACAGAAAGCAGGTGTAGAGATGGGATATAAAAACTAAAGCCTTCATTTTGTTCCAGGAGTGCATCTTCTCAACCACATCTCACGACCTAACATTACCCATGAGCCTCAATTTCCAACTGAACAACAGACGAATGGTGACCGCTAATTTTATCTCCCAGGGTTGTGTATGGAGTAAACTTGGTCCTGCAGGTACACAAATAGTCTAGTCTAACATAACCTCTGCACTGCAGTAGAGGTTTAATGAGTTATCAGTTTTAAAAATGAAAAACAAACAAACCCCCCCCAAAACCCCAAAGACCCATAGTATGATTTGAAATCAAGAACTATGAGGGGGCCAGATTGGGTCTTTCTCAAGATTGCTTTGGCTATCTGGGATTCTCTGCAGTTATATAGGAATTTTAGGATAGTTTTGTTCTAAGTGTTAGCATTGCACAATGAGTTTGTAAGAGTTTGTCTTCAATATTTGTGGGAAGAATTACAGGCAATTCTTTTAAAAGTTTATTACAAATTGCAACAAGATTTTAAACTCTTGAGATGTTTTTGACTACTAACTAATGTCCATATCTGTTGTGGGTCTGCTCAGTCTTTCTATTTCTTCATTTCTGGCAGGCTATGTATTTCTAGAAACTTTTTTTTATTCTAGATTATTATTTTGTTGGCATGTCATTATCACAGTAGACTCAAAATTCTTTTTTTGTTTTTGGGCTACACCAGCTGTGCGCAAGGCTTACGCCTGGCTCTGTGTTCATAGATCACTTTTCAAGGTTCATACAGTGCCAGAGTTTGAACCCAGATCAGCTGAATGAAAGGCAAGTGCCTTATCTTTTTGGTCCCAGTATCTTTAAGATTTGAGCTAATGTTTTTAATTTATATCAAATTTGATGCTTTTATTATATACTGCATAATTATTTGTTCTATTAATAATGTGACAGGACTTTATATCATAAGTCATCATGAACCTAAGATGTTATTATAGTCTCTCATTCCTTAACAAAAGGCAAGAAAAGTATTTTAAACTAGAACAAGCCCTCTCCCCACCAACAAAAATTCCCTTTCAGTAACCCTAGTGACCAAACAAATGGAAGGGTTTATTATCATTTACACCTTACACCTTTGCTAAATATTTAAGTATGTAAATTTTATCTCAACCGATCTAAGTCAAAGAAACCCTAAAACTGAAACCATGTTGTGAGGGTAGTCAGTTTCTGTTTCTACCTAGTGAGAACCCACCTCAATTCCCAGAATTGTTTGGTGATCATAATGACTTAATAAATGACTTAACTACGGAAACTCCTGGCTTTAGGGCCAGGAACGCGGAAGAATCTTTTGACTAGCCCTCTTTAGAGAAAACACTCAGGCCCATATCAAATAACCAAGTGGTGAAATAGACCAGTCAAATGTGATTAATACTCCAGCTCCAGTACTTTTTTTTTTTGCTTTTTGGGTCACATCTGGTGATGCACAGGAATTACTCTTGGCGGTGCTCAGGGGACCATATGGGATGCTGGGAATCAAACCCGGGTCGGCCATGCGCAAGGCAAACACCCTCCCTGCTGTCCTATTGCTCCAGCCCCTCTAATACTTTCAATACGTTGCACACCAGCCAGAGTTCCCGCACTTCTCAAAGCCAGGTTTTTTTTTTTTTTTTTTTGCTTTTTGGGTCACATCTGGCAATGCACAGGAATCACTCCTGGTGGTGCTCAGAGGACCATATGGGATGCTAGGAATCAAACCCAGATCAGCCTCGTGCAAGGCAAACGCCCTACCTGCTGTGATATCGCTCCAGCCCCAAGCCAGGGGTTTTACAGTGGATGTTCTACATTAGTGGAGATGGTCACACATTTACTGAACAAATGAGTCCATCCAGCTTTACTTATCCTTTAGGGATATATGCTCCTATTATATTTTTGCAAACGTCTGATAAAGGTAAATTTCCCCCTTCTGGATGTTAGACAGCGCTCTGGGCTTATAGACCAATACCAAACCAAGACCAACCAAAATCCTTGAGAACGTGGCAGGTGAAAGTCTGGCAGAGCCCTGAACAGTTCACCTCTCCCTCAGTGAAACAGCTCCATAGAGGAACTGGGTTATACTTAAAGGAAATCTGGGGGGGAGAAAACTTTTAGCCTCTAGAAACCCACTTAAGAAATGATTCTTTCCAGTGAAATCTGAGGGAACGGCATGAGGTCATTCTACTCTCATGACCCACTGAAATAATACACTGTGTGTGGGACTCGCCCACACCGCAGGATCTGTGTGGGTATGATGCAATTACTCAGGGAGTGAGGAGAGACCAGAGCAGAACTTCCGTATTTCTCCTTTCAGGCTGTGCATGGTCATTTTCAAAGACTGTGCCATGGTCTGTCCCCCTCAGCTAGTCAATATCCTCCTTTATTCCTCTGTTAATTATTAAAGTCCAGTTTCAGATCCCTTTAATCAAGTTCGGAATCTCCAAAATCATACTAGTGGGCTCTGTTCACTGGTGTGGGCATGTTCTGAGCAGATTATCCAGGCTTAGTCTGAGATGCCAGAAGGCTTTGTTTCATGTTTTTTGGTCACACCTGGCAGCATTTGGACTCTACACCTGGTACTGTACTTAGGGGTACACTTCACCTGGAGCTCAGGGCCCCATGTGGTAGGGACCCAGGGACAGAACCTGGGTCTCCCACTGTAAAGCATACATTTAGCCCCCAGAGATTCCAAAGGACCACTCTCTTAGGTGTTTACTGCATAAACTCTAAATAGGGCTTTGAGTCTGTCAAGGAAAGCTGTTTGATCTATGGAATAATAAAATACAACTAAAAAATGAAGCGCGAATCTATGAAGCAACCGATCTATTATTTTCTAAAACCCCAAATACGGAGAGAGCAAAGAATAATACTGGAACCTCCACAGTGGACAACCCAGCTCTAGGGGCCAGACAGACAGAGCAGGGGTTAAGGTGCTTGCCTTGCCCCAGTTCCATCTTTGTCACTACAGAGTCCTCTGGGCATCACCGGGGGTGACTCCTGAGCACCAAGTCAGGAGTAGCACCAGTGGGTGTGCCCCCCCCCCCCCCCCCCCCCCCGCCAACCACAGTTTTAGAGAGAAAGCTAAAAAAAAGACTCAAAAATGAACACTTGGATAGGGAGCTGGCTCAGCAGTCAGGAGCAGGAGAGCTCTGGGCCTGCATGTGCCGCCCCCGCCCCCCCATCCCCAGCGCCCCCATTCCACTGCTGGGCATGGTTCCCAAACAAAGAAAGTCAAACAAAAATTTAGCCCTCAATTCCTCTTTTTTTTTTTTCTTCTTCTCGGGTCACACCTGGCGATGCTCAGGCGTTACTTCTTGCTTTGCACTCAGGAATGACTCCTGGCAGTGCTCAGGGGACCATCTGGGATGCTGGGAATCGAACCTGGATCGGCCACATGCAAGGCAAACACCCTACCTGCTGTGCTATCACTCCAGCCCCCTCAATTCCTCTTTCTAAGGAGGTTGAATCCTGTGCTCACTTCAAACATCCTGGAGGACAGACTCTTGTAGAACCTGGGTAGTTTTGGGTTTTGGAGAGAAAAAAGAACTACAGAACTGATGAATAGAACAGGACACCCAGAAATCGCCTCACAGGTCAAACCACAATACCCACATCCTGCAGGCTGGACCCAGAGAGCCAATTCTGGTGGCCATGTCTCCCCTTCTGCCATCTGCCTTTTCTATTTATTTATTTGCTTTTTGGGTCACACCCGGCAATGCTCAAGGGTTCCTCCTGGCTCATGCACTCAGGAATTACTCCTGGCGGTGCTCAGGGGACCATATGTGGGATGCTGGGAATTGAACCCGGGTCTGCTGTGTGCAAGGCAAACGCCCTCCCTGCTGTGCTATCGCTCCAGTCCCAACATTTTCTATTTAAAACTGGGGCTTGAGCGATAGATAGCACAGTGGGGAGAGCGTTTGCCTGGCACAGGGCAGACCCGGGTTCACTCCCTGGCATTCCATATGGCCCTAGAGCGCTGCCAGGAGTAATTCCTGAGTGCAGAGCCAGGAGGAACCCCTGTGCATCGCCGGGTGTGACCTCCAAAACCATTTACTGCCCTGACGATGTGTGTGTGTGTGTGGGGGGGGGGGGGGGAGGCCAGGCATCGGGGAAGGAGTCAACTACCTTCTGGGTGCTGGGGACAGCACCAGGATGTGGGGTTGCCCATGGCCTTGGGCCACCCGATGCTGGAAGGAGAAAATGACTCCTCAGACCCAGGAAGGAGCCCCGGAGGCCTGAGGTCCTGCGCAGTTTTCTCTTTTTCCTCCCTGAAAGTTCTTTTCCCGGGGCTAGAGCGATAATAGCACAGCGGGTCGGGCGTTTGCCTTGCACGCGGCCGACCCGGGTTTGAGTCCCAGCATCCCATAGTGTCCACCGAGCACTGCCAGGAGTGATTCCCGAGTGCAGAATCAGGAGGAACCCCTGTCGAGTCCCAGCATCCCATAGGGTCCCCTGAGCACTGCCAGGAGAGATTCCCGAGTGCAGAATCAGGAGGAACCCCTGTCGAGTCCCAGCATCCCATAGGGTCCCCCGAGCACTGCCAGGAGTGATTCCCGAGTGCAGAATCAGGAGGAACCCCTGTCGAGTCCCAGCATCCCACAGGGTCCCCTGAGCACTGCCAGGAGTGATTCCTGAGTGCAGAGCCAGGAGGGACCCCAGTGCGTTGCCGGGTGTAGCCCAAAAAGTTCTTTTCCGTCCCAATACAATCTACTAAGGAGGTTGGGGTGTGGATGCTGAGCGCTCGGGCGGGTCTCCCCCCGCCCCCGGCCCCGCAACACTTCGCTGGGGAGTCCGGTGCCCTCGGGGGGCCAGTCCGGCCGGGCAGTCCCTACCTGTCCGAGGAGGGCGGACGGTGCGGCGGCGCCGGGGTGTGTGGTGCGCGGCGGCGGGGCGCCCCTTTAATAGCCTCCCCTCCCCGCTTTCAGTTTCCCTTTCGGGGCCGCGCCCCCCCAACCCCCCGCGCGGGGTTTCTGGGAAGTCACCCCGCTTCTCCAGGTGAGGGGGGCGCGCCCCGGGCGGAGCCGGCCCGGCCCGGCGGCGGGTGTGGGGACGCCCGTTGCATCAGCCCGGCCCGCCCTCGCACCAGCTGGGCAGCGGGCGGACGGCCGCGGGGGGCGGCGGCTGAGGCGGGCGGGGCGCCCCGTCCCGGGAGGGCGCTCGCCTCGGCAGCCGGGCGCCGGGACGGCCCGCCTGGAGGACCCGCGGGGACTCGGGGAGCCGCCGCAGCCTCTGAAGCGGGGACGGGCGCGCACGCCGCTGCCGCTGCCGCCCCGGGAGGGCTCTGAGGAGGCCTCTGGCGGGAGGCGGCTCTCCGGAGCGGTCCCCCGGCCACCCCTCTCCGTCCCCTCGTCCGTCCCTCCCTCGACCCTGCGACTCACCAAGGCCCGGAGGGGCCAGTCCGCGATGCCCTGCGCTCCGCCACGGGCGGCCTCCAGGGCGTCCGTGGAAACGACGTCCGGCCGGAAGCACTTCCGGGCCGGCCGCGCTCTCATTGGCTGCCCTCGCCGGGGGCGGGGCGCCCAGGCCGCTTCCGATTGGCTGGCGGCGCCGGCGCCTGCGGAACGCGCCGGGGAGGCGGGCGCAGCCGGGCGGCCTGCGGGAGGACGGAGCGCTTCCGGTGCGTGTGGTGAGCGGCGGGCCGGGGGCGCGGGGGGCCGGGACCCGGGCGCCGCCCCGCGCTCCGCACCGCGCCGTGCGGGCCCTTCCTCACCGCCTCCCTCCCGGGCGCTGGGGCACCCCTCGCCGCCCTCCCCCGACGGAACGCGCCAGTTCCCCCCCACACGCCCCCGTCAGAACCCGCCTCAGCCCCCAGCGCGCTGGGGCCGTGAAAACTCCCGTTTGGTCCCGGGCTGGGTCCGGACTAGATAAACCAGGAAGCCCCTGTGCCGGGGAAAGACCCCGTTTCCTTCCCCCTCCGGGGCCGCCTGGGACAGGTCGCCCAGAGGCGGGGTCCGGGCTCCTCCGTCACCCCCCCACCCCCCCACCCCAGTTTCCAGAGAACTTTCCGTTGGTTTTGTTTGGGGGCCACAGCCGCTCAGGGCTTCCTCCTGGCTCTGTGGCCCAGGAATTTCCCCCCCCCCACCCCCCCGGGTGCCCGATGGGACCACCCCGATGGAACCCGTGTGCTGTCTAGTCCCGACCCCCGGACGCCCGAGACAGCACTTGGCGCCCACTACAGGTTCTGTCGCTCCCCTCGGCTCTCTCTCGTCTTCCCTTTCCCTTTCCCTCGCCTCAGCCTCAGACCCCATCTCACTGGTCAGGTGGGTCCAGGACGGTGCGTCTGGGGGCCCCTGCACCCTCCGCTCCTGCAGCCCCTTTGCACACCTTGCCTGGGTGGCCCCTCCCCCATGGACACTGAGCCCAGGCCCTCCCTGGCTCTCCTCCCAGCACACACATTCTTTTTTTTTTTTTTTTTTTTTTGCATTTTGGGTCGCACCTGGCCCTGATGCTCAGGGGTTTCCTCCTGGCTCTGCACCCAGGAAAATGACTCCTGGCGGTGCTCCCGGGACCTTATGGGATGCTGGGAATCGAACCCCGGTCAGCTGCCGCGTGCAAGGCAAACGCCCTACCCACTGTGCTATCGAGCCAGCCCCGCAGCACACACATTCTGTCTTGCCCCCTGCCCGGCCCTGTCTGCCCCAGGCAGGGTGGGGAGCAGAGTGGGGGAAGCTTCTGTCTCTCCCCTAGTTCGAGTGGGGCTCATGGGCTCCCAGCCCGCTCTCCTCTGTCCTTTGGAGGACAATTATGGTGTTCAATTATGCCCACGAGCCGGGGTGGCCTCTGAGGACTGCAGGGTGTATGGGGCCCTCCATGGAACAGCTGGGTCAAGGTTGCTCCGGGGGTCTCCACCGCAGGCTGTATGGGGGCCTTGCCCAGGGGAAATGTCTGATTGGGGCGGGCCTTGAGCCCATTGAGAGAACCAAGGTATCAAATCACCCACAGGGCCCGGTTCCCGGAGCTGCCCATTTGCGATGGGCTGGCCTGATACAGATGTCTTATGTAGCTCTCTTATGGGTGGAGGCAGACTTCACACTGTGTTTTTGTGTACAAGCAAAGATGCCTTTTGGTAGAAAGGTGTGGGAAGTGTGGGGGTCGTTGACTTGAAACTTGTTCCTGGGAGAGGTGGGTGCCAGGCAGTCTGCAGTGACTTAAGGGAGGGAATCCTCTGGAATTTGCCTGATCCCCATAATGAAGGTTTGTTTGTTTGTTTGTTTGTTTATGTAGGTTTTGGGCCCATATCCGGTGGTTCTCAGGGCTTACTCCTGCTTCTGCACTCAGGGATCACTCCTGGCAGACTCAGGGGAGACCATATGGGGTGCCAGGGATCGAACCCAGATCGGCCTCGTGCAAGGCAAATACCCTACCTGCTGTACTATGGCTCCATGCTGGAGGTTTATTAAGGTAGGAGACGCCAGGGCCTGTGTAGTGTCTCTGAACCCCCGGGTGGTCCGTCCTGCTCCTTTGCTCTCTCTGCTGGTGGGGGGAGTTTTCTGATTTTCTCTGATTTCTGGATTTTCTGGTGACCATGCTCACGTTAATAGCATAAACACTCCAGGCTGAAACCCTGAATTTTCTGTCTCCCTGGCATTCTTTTTTGGGGCTGATTTTTTGCGCACAACTGGTGATGCTCAGGGGTTACTCCTGGCTCTCAGGAATTACTCCTGGCGGTGCTCAGGGAACCATATGGGATGCTGGGAATTGAACCCAGGTTGGCCGCGAGCAAGGCAAACACCCTAACTGCTGTACTAGCGCTTCAGCCCGTCTTCCTGGCCTTCGAACCATATGTTCAGTTTTATAGGGGCGGGCCAGGCCGGGGAAGGTGGCACACTTGGCTGTGCTCAGGGCTTATTTGTGGCTCTGTGGTCAGGGATCCCTCCTGGCAGTGCTTGGGGGATCATACGGGGTGCCAGGACTGAACCCAGGTCATTTGTATCCTCCCCCGCCCCTCCCCTCTCCTCTCTCTTCCTCCTCTGCCTCCTCCTCCTCCTCTGCCTCCTCCTCCTCTTCCTCCTCCTCCTCCTCTTTCTTTTTTTGTTTTTTTGGGGCATACTGTCTTGCTCAAGGGTTATTCCTGGCTCTGCACTCAGGAATCACTTGTGGAGGTGCTTGGGGGACCATATGGAATGCTGGAGATTGAACCTGGGTCGGCTGCGTGCAAGGCAAACACCCTCCCTGCTCTACCATCGCTCCAGCCTTGCATCCTTCCTTCTGACTCCAGGTGGTCCAGGTCCTTCTGTGCACGCTCCCTGACGCTGGCCCTGTTTGCTCTTAGGTTGTTCGCCGTGAAGGACAGCAGCCGTAACTGCCATGGCGTCCTTGGTGGCTTACGATGACTCGGACTCAGACGCGGAGCCGGAGCCTGATGGCTGTGGTGCGGCGGGGCCGAGAGACTCTTCTGCTGTGGTCCAACCTTTGGATTTTGCCTCAGGTGCCTTGGGTGAGTCGGAAGGGGGAGCGCTGCCCCCCCAGCCTGGCTCTTGTGGAGAGGCAGCGGGACCTCGTCTTCACCTCCCGCTGGCACGGCTCGGGAAAGTGGCCCCAGCATCCTGCCCCAGCCAGAGACTGCAGTGGCCTTGGGCAGCGCCGGAAATCACCGTCCCCAGTCACCAGCCTTGTTCCTCCTTGTGGACAAGCCACGTTCCCTCGAGCCACGTGCCCGTGACAGCAGCTGGTGGGAAAGCCCCAAAGCGCCCCTGGGAAAGTTCCTGCTCCCTGGAGCCGCTTACCCCTGCTCAGACCAAAGCCGAAACCACCCGGAAAACTGTCAACTGTCTTCAGAGGAAGCGGGGTGAGGACGGTGTCGTGCCCTATACCCCCAAGAGATTCCGACAGTTGCCAGGGTTGAGCACAGAGACCAGGAAGAACAGAGATGGAGGGCCGCAGGGTTCCTCGGCTGTCCGGCTCCGGCCCCCCGCCCCTCTATGTGTGCGCCCCCAAGTGTCCGAGTTCATCGAGCCATACCTGAAGAGTCAGTACAAAGAAACCCTGATTGCCAAGAAGGTGCTCTTCCATCTGCGAGGCCACCGCGGGCCGGTGAACAGCATCCAGTGGTGTCCTGTCGTCTCCCGCAGCCACATGCTGCTCTCCACGTCCATGGACAAGACCTTCAGGGTGAGCCTGCACTTGGGGATCGGCCGGGATGGTTCTAGGCCGAGTGTGGCATGTGGGGTGTTCACACGCTTCTCTGTTCTGTTCCGGAGGGGATTATGGGTGGTCAGCCCTGCCCTGCCCCCTGCCCGCCCCACCCCCAGGACGCTGTCCTGATCCCCAGGGACATTGAGGTCGTTGACAGAGCCAAGAGAGAAGCCTGAGACCCCTGTAGCTCCTGCTGAAAGGTCAGCCGTGGCCACTTTGTGGGCTACAGGGGTGGACAGGTGGAGGCAGAGAGCGAGGGGAGGACCCTCAGCATGGGAGGGGTCCAGCCAGCCTGAGGGCCTCGGTGAAGGGTCACTGGGTGGAAGGTGTCCTTATGTGAGAGGGCCTGGAGGCTCGAAGGGGGCAGTGGGGAGCCTGAGTCTGGGCAGGGAGGCAAGGCCTGACTGGGGAGGGGCTGTGAGACCTGGTGGGTATGTCCCGATGGTGCCCAGACTCTCTCCACTGTTGCTTGGGTATTTGTGAGCTCCAGAGGAACACAGCTGCATGGTGAGCGATTCCATGAATAGGGGTGACATGTGTGTCCCCTGCCTGGGCGCCAGCCCCCCCACCCCACTCCTCGGCCTCTTGCAAGGTGCCCCAGACATTCCAGAGGGGAAGAGACAGCGTGGGGGTGAGGCAGGTGATTTTCCACATTCCCGCTGTGATCCAAGCTATGCCCTGCTGAGTCTGGTTTCTCCCCGGTATTAGACATCATTAACACATGTGCGTGGTCAGGGGAGAAAAATGCTTGCCAAGCCCCTGTCGAGTCAGGTGCTCAGTATCCCTGCTTCCTTCTGCTGTGTGTGGGGGCCACACCCAGCTTGCTCAGGGCTTACTCTTGGCTCTGCGTACAGGAATTATTCTGGCAAGGCTTGGGGGACCAAATGGAATTCGGGGCACCGAACCCGGATTGGCTGGGTGCAAGGCAAGCACCCTCCCTGCTGCGCTCTCTCTCCAGCCCTGCCACGTTCTCCAGAGTTCTAGAATCTTGTGTCTGCCATTGCATTTTGAGGTGTTGTTGTTGGGGAACGGCTGCATCGACTGTGCTCAGAACTTATTCCCTGCTCTTCTCAGGGATCACTCCTGGCAGTGCTTGGGGAACTGTAGGAGGTGCTGAGGATCAAACCAAGGTAGTTGAGAGCAAGGCAAGCATCTAATCCCTGGTCTGTCTCTCCAGTCCCCTATTTGGAGGATTTGGGCCTTTGGAGACACGTTCAGAAAGGAAGAAAGCAAGTCTAAGACAAGTAAGGATTTGGAAATGAGCCAAACCAGAAGATTCCATTTTTGTTTGTTTCTGGGTCACACCTAGTGGTGCGTGGGGGCTACTTCCGGCTCTGGGCTCTGGGGTTGCTCCCAGTGGTATGTGATACTCCGGGGACCAGGCAGTGCTGGGACTCAATCCTGTCCTGTGTGTAAGGCGTGTTTTGTATATGTTCAGCCCATTAGCACCACACTATGTGCAACTAACGTCAGAGCACAGACATGTCTTGATTTGCCTTCTATACTTGAGTAGTGTGTAGTGGATTTTGGTAAAGCCCTTTATACATATCATTAATCTCTTCATAGTACACATTAAATGATGATCCAGTAATCTCAAAAACAAAGCAAACCTACTTTATTTTTTAATTTATTTATTTTTTTGCTTTTTTGGGTCACACCCGGACATTGCACAGGGGTTCCTCCTGGCTCTGCACTCAGGAATCACTCCTGGCGGTGCTCCGGGGACCATGCTGGGGATCGAACCTGGGTTGGCCGCGTGCAAGGCAAACGCCCTACCTGCTGTACTATCACTCCACCCCCCACAAACCAACTTTAAAGATTAGTCAAGAAATTAAAACAAAACCCACAACACTACCCAGCCCTTTTTGCCTCCACAGGCTAATAGTTGTGGTAAAAGGTAAAGGTAAAGGCCCTCCCATTGTTCATCGATTTGCTCGAGCGGGTCTAGTAACGTCTCCATTGGAGATTTTGTTGTTACTGTGTTTGGCATATTGAATAGATCACGGGTGGCTTGCCAGGCTCTGCCGTGTGGGCTCGATACTCTCGGTAGCTTGCCAGGCTCTCCGAGAGGGGCGGAGGAATCGAACTCGGGTTGGCCATGTTGGCTGCATGCAAGGCAAACGCCCTACCGCTGTGCTATCGCTCCAGTCCGGGGGGCCGGAGCGATAGCACAGCGGGTAGGGCGTTTGCCTTGCACACAGCCAACCCGGGTTTGATTCCCAGCATCCCATATGGTCCCCCGAGCACCGCCAGGAGTAATTCCTGAGTGCATGAACCAGGAGTAACTCCTGTGCATCACCGGGTGTGACCCAAAAAGCCAAAAAAAAAAAAAAAGCCAATAGTTGTGAGTTGTATTTAAATTGAAAACTAATGTTTTAAAAATAGTTCTGGGGACTGGAGGGATAGCACAGTGGCTAGGGTGTTTGCCTTGCACGCGGCCAACCCAAGTTTGATTCCCAGCATCCTATGTGGTCCCCTGAGCACTGCCAGGGGTAATTCCTGAGTGCAGAGCCAGGAGTAACCCCTGAGCATCGCCAGGTGTGACCCAAAACGCAAGGTAAAAGGTAAAGGTAAAGGCCCTCCCGTTGATCGTCGATTTGCTCGAGCGGGCCCAGTAACGTCTCCATTGGAGACTTTGTTGTTACTGTGTCTGGCATATCGAATACTCTCGGTAGCTTGCCGGGCTCTCCGAGAGGGGTGGAGGAATCGAACTCGGGTCGGCTATGTTGGCCGCTTGTAAGGCAAACGCCCTACCGCTATGCTATCGCTCCAGCCCTCCCAAAACGCAAAAAAAAAAAAAAAAAGTTCTGTTCACTTACCCCTTATCCCTGGATTTGCAGCAAGAGTAACCAATTATTTTATTCCTCCCAATTAACCCAGTGCTCTTTAGCTATTTTAAATATAAATTGGGACAGTTATTAATGAGGTTTTGAAAAAGGCATCCTCTTCTGTAACAGGAATGATATAAAACCAATCAATAGAAGCACTTGACAAGACATTAAGTTACCGTCTGCACCGATTGGTTCAAGTTGTGAGCTCTCTGTCAATATCTTATATTTGTAGCATTATTAAGGTAGTTAAAATTCTGAAAGTGGGACTCCAAGTTGCATGGTTCTGAATGTGAAGGATATATTCTTCTTGAACCTACTTTCCCCCCCAAATCAAGTTTTCCTGAAGTAAGAACAAATAAATTCCAATCGCAAAGGCTATCTGTTTTTGTTTTGGGGCCATACCTGGTGGTGCTTGAGGCATGCTTCTGTCTGTGCACTCACGGATCACTCTTGGAGCGCTTGAGGGACCATATGGGGTGCTGGGGATCAAACCCAGGTTGGTCACATGCAAGGCAAACGTCCTCCCTGCTGTACTATTTCTTAGGCCCATTACTTTTATTTTTGTTTTGGGCGTCACACTTGGCGTGCTCGGGCCTTACTCCTGGCTCTGTGCTTAGGGGTCGTTCCGGGTGGTGCTCCGAGAACTCTGTGTGGTGCTGGGATGGGACCTGGGTCGGCTGCATGCAAAGGGCAAATTGATCTTATTTATTTATTTGTTGCTTTTTGGGCCACACCTGGCGATGCACAGGGGTTATTCCTGGCTCATGCACTCAGGAATTACTCCTGGCGGTGCTCGGGGGACCATATGGATGCTGGGAATCAAACCCGGGTTGGCCGCATGCAAGGCAAACGCCCTAACTGCTGTGCTATCGCTCCAGCCTGGCAAATTGATTTTAAACAGGGCCACACCCAGTGGTGCTCAGGGGACCATATGAGATGTCCAGGATGGAACCTGGGTTGGCTGTGTGCAAGTCAGACACCCTACCCACTGTACTATGACTCCAGCTCTTCTCCAAGCCTGATTTTATTTATTATTTTTTTTCATTTTTTATAATTTTATTTATTGAATCACCGTGAGAGCAGTTACAAAGCTTTCCGGTTTAAGTCTCGGTTATACTATGAAACAGCCATACCTTCACCAGTACCCATTCTTCACCACCCAAAACCCCAATATACCCCCATCCCACACCCTCCCCCTACCTGTGGGGGAGATGATTTTCACAGTACTCTTTCTCCACTTTGATTACATTCAATATTTTGACACCATACCCACCATTATTATTTGGGATTTTGCTCCAACACTCAGATCTTCCAAAAAGGCAACAGTACACTATTTGTTTTCTATTGCTGGTTATGAATAACATATGGTGTTGCATGGCTACAGTAGTGGCCATGCAATTTTGAAATTCCGAAATTTTAACAATTAAATCTGGAGGGATTTCTGCCAAAACCTGCTGGAGCAATAGCACAGCGGGTAGGGCATTCGCCTTACAAGCGGCCAACATGGCCGACCCGAGTTCGATTCCTCCGCCCCTCTCGGAGAGCCCGGCAAGCTACCGAGAGTATTCGATATGCCAGACACAGTAACAACAAAGTCTCCAATGGAGACGTTACTGGGCCCGCTCGAGCAAATCGACGATCAACGGGAGGGCCTTTACTTTACTTTACTTAAATCTGGAGGGATTTCTGCCAAAACCTGCTGGGTTCCGAGATTTGTTTCTGAGTCTCTTGGGTCATGGGCATTAAGCAGCTTGATCAGGAGCCAGAGAGGCCGTTCATGGGCGGCGACTCAGGGTCTCGTTGGGGTGTGGAGGAAAGGGCCAGCTCCATCTATCCTGTGAGGCCCTGCGTGTCTTGTCACTGTGCAGGGCCTCACGGGCCTCACAGTCAGTCACCTGACTGTCCATTGGCCTCTGGAGGATGGCGGCCACCGAGCTGCCAAGGGGGAGCAGGTGGAGGGACAGCGCCCTTTCCCCCCTGGGGTAGCCCGGCAACAGTAACCTACTGCGGGGTCTGGATGAATTTTTGCCAAAAGCCGCTGGGTTTCGAAATTTGTTTCTGAGTCTCTGAGATCATGGCCATTAAGCAGCTTGATCAGGAGCCAGAGAGGCCTTTCGTGGGCGGCGACTCGGGGTCTCGATGGGG